TATTGAACTTTCTTCCGAAGAACTTTAAGAAAGCAGAGGAAGTTTCTCCATGGATCTTATGGACCGACAGCACGTACAGCGATAAGTCAAACAATTAGGGAAGATTTTTGATCTAAGTTTTAGTCCAGTGGGCTCTGAAGAATGGAGAGCCTCAGACCGAGAAAGTGGGCATCAATTTTTCTGATACATAGGGACTTGGGCGGATAAAGTAGACGAAGTACCAACCCAGTGTTCACACCAGTCACCAGGGGTGGGTCTCAGAAAGTCAGACAAAGTGGGGCCACTCTTTCAATGTCAGTTTCATGGGCTTTAGAACCAGGTAATCTCTCTTTCCTTCCTATTTCTTTTCCTCATGGCTGTGGGTCATGCTTAGAATCGCGAAGTTCAAAAGAGCCGTTGACAGGGTTGAGCAAAATACTCCACATAAATCCCTTTGAATTCTAATGTCACTTTCCTTCTGGATATTAACAATATCAGTTTTAGCTCTTATGTGATTGTATTTTTTTTATAAAATAAAAATGATTTATTTTAAATTTTTAAAAATTGACAAATTCAGATAAAATTTAATTCAACTTGAATTGTGAAAATTAAAAGACATAAATTAATTGAAAAGAAAATACAAAATCAAATTCGAATTAAATTGTATCTAATATGTTGTTGATATAGTTTTTAAAATTTGAATAATTTTTGAATTAACTTTTAACTAGATTGATTTTCCTTCTAATTATAGGTCATAACAATATAAAATGGACAAATTTGATTTTTTTATTCGTTTTTCATTTTTTTAAAACAAATTTGATTTATTGGGAGAATTAGGGTAGAAAATATACAAAGCATGTATTATTGCAATCGTTTGCGTCGGTTAGAACTTTATACAAAATTCATCATATCATTGTTAGTGATCTACAATTTGACAGCTCAAATAAGGACGTTAAGTTGCACCGTTCACTCCAAGACAATTTCGTGGAACCATGAAACTGAAGCTGTTAAAGCGTTGGCTTGCACCAAGACAATAATAATAATAATAATAAATAAATAAAAGAAAAAACACAAGTGTGAATCACTTGTAATCTACAGTAACTTGCAGGAGCAGCTAGTCAATGTGGAGTTACACGTGCACCTCAAATGCACACCAAATATTGGGATAAGTAGGCATATTAATCATTCCATCAAAGAAATAATATGGCTTAATTAATCAGATTAAGCTATACTGATAGAACAAACGAAACTTCCCTCGAGTCGGTTCTTCAAGTTAATTATTACTGTAAAGAAAAAGCACATAGCTGAGTTTGACTGGAATATATTTCCTGCAAGAAATTAATCAATGTAGGATGCATCTGAGCAACTCAAGGGCCATGCAATGAAGTTCAACGGACCGTACGGCTGACTCTATAAATTACTCCACCAATCAGCCCATCTGCTTATAGCCTCTCATAGATCATAAACAAAGACAATGCAGCATCGGGTTTTATAATAAGGAATAGCAGCACCAGCATATATATATATATAGATGATTAAAAAGAAAAAGATATGCTCAGGTAATTGTCGCGGCGGAGAGCTTCTTACAGACGACTAAATATGCAGGGTGCAGACAAAGAAAAGGAGGGTGAATCTGTTCCTAAAGGGTATGTCCCAGTCATGGTTGGGACGGGGAAGGATAGTGCAAAGTTTTCGATCCACATCGATATGTTAAAAAATGATTACTTTGCTGGATTGCTTGAGATTGTTGCTGAAGAGGTTGGCTATGAAAACCCCGGCATCCTTAGAATCCCATGCGATGCAGATTGTTTCAGAAACTTAGTCAACGAGATTTCAAGGGTCAACTAGTGCTTCAAGCCTACAACTGGTTGTTTGTTTTTTTTTTTGGCAAAATTCTTTCATTCGTTAAATTAACTTCACAATTCCTGCCCAAGTAGCAGAAAAAAGCAGCAGCACAACACATTAACGGTATTAATATTTGAAGTGCAATGAATTGGGCCGAACCCACTAAGGATTTGGGGCCTCTTAACTATTTGGGCCGACGTTTTATGGACCAGTGCCCTTCACGTTCTTTTATTTGTTTTTCCCTTGTTCACAAATTACATTCTATTTGTTAAAAAATTCCTAAATACATCACTTGATCAAAAAATTGCGATGTCATAGAATTAGGCAAAGAATTTTAATTTTTTCAAGTGTTTATTTTTAATGATTCAGTGACAGTAATACGTTTTAAGTTTTTCATTAGTTTTTTATTTTATTTTATTTTTTAGATCACGTGAACCTCCCGCCGACTTTCCACATGCAAGCAAAACACAAGTATGCTCTCCAGTGTGAAACAGAAGTTGAATTTTTAACAATATTGCCATTTAGATTAAATTTTTTTTTTTTAGTTTGAAGCAATACTCCAATTTGATATAATACTAAGATTCTTATACAAAGTCAATGATCCTTTCTAGCAGCTCAGTGATTAAGATAATTAATCATCAAACTATTTCTTTAATATAGCATTGAATGAAAGATCTCAAATTCCAATATCTTAAAAACGTTTTCTTTTTGTTGATTTCTTAATCCAATGTTTTCTTTCCTTTGCTTTTATTTGTGTCAGTTGAATTTTACAATACTTTCTTGATCTTTCTTTAATTCTAAACTCAAGAGTAAAATTTATTAATTATTATTAATCAAAATATACTACGATTTTATATTTTTAATTTAAAACATATACTTGTTAAATGTATGAAAAATCTTTATTTGTAAGTTCAAAAGTCTTTTAATTTAGGATCCATAGAGGAGAGGGAGCTGCTTACCTTAATCTTAATATCTTATGAAAAGTCTCACATAAGAAAATTTTTTAATAAATTCAAGTACTATTTGTGATGGGTCTATACTTATAATCCAAAAAATATGTCTAATAAGTAAAAAAAAACTTTTATTTATAAGCTTAAGATTTATTTTATTTCTTTTCGATGTGTTGATATTCACAACACAAACAGAAAAATAATTAATAAGTTAATAGAAAGAGTCTAATTTCAAGGGCTTTTTTTTTAACCAACACATGAAAATGAGACTATTCCTTATGAACTTAAAATTGTGAAATAATTGATGATTGATCACTCAATTATATGTTCAATTTGCGTAGATATTTTAGCTGCAATGTCAAGCTAGAAAACTTAGTTGGTTTCCTCATTCGTACCACGGAAAATGCACTTTGTAACGAATTGTTAAGGCGCAATGAATAAACCCCGAAAAAACCACATGAAAAGACTTTCACTTTCCGAGAAGACGTAAAGGAGGGCAAGGATGGAACAGCCAACTCAAAACCGTCGCACGTGCAAAAACCCGAAAAGAATTAAAGTAGTTTAACCACATGGAAAACGCTTTCATGAAAATGGCGAGTGCTCTGGCGACCACAGCATTTACTGTGCCAAGCCATTCCTTGTTGTTGAGTATTCCACGTCACATGCTTTCGGGAAGGACACCAATGTTTGTCCAATTTAACAAACCATATTTTTTTTTAATTTAAATCGCACAGCTTCACCGTCGTACGGAGGAAAGCACGTAACGTACGGAGCATTAACGTCGACATCTACAAAGAAACAGAGTACTGCTTCTAACATAAAAGTGTCGGACATTGTTTTACTTACTCGACATCTGTCCATTGTTGTAGGCGAACCACCGAAATAAAAATGGGAAGAAGTTGCACTGATAAGGCTAGACAACAACTTGTACTCAAATCAACGTTCGTGTTTGGTATTGTGAATAAACTAGTTAAATTTGATTGTTAAGTGTCCACATTTTAAGTGAAAACGTAATTTAATATCATAATTAATACAAAATTAAATTACATAAAAAAATTTAGTGTAATTTGATATTCATTATTTATATTTGTAAGCGAGAATAAAAAATCCATTATACATGTAAAAGTTACAAAAAAAATAAATTCAAACATCAAAATATATGTGTATTTGTGTAATTTAATGTTTTTTCATTTTTTTTCACATTCTTGTAACTCTCTGAAACTCTCACGTATTAGTAAAGATCTACTACTTAATCACCAGGAATCTTTATTTACAAATAATTCTTAACTATTAAGTATAGTTATTTTTGAAATAAACTTAATCACAAAATAATTTTAAATCAATAAATATCCAACAGTAAATAAAATATCAGACAAGATATAAAAGTAAGATGAAAAATTTTCATTACCATAAATCTATTTTCAATCACAAAAGTAGATATAAAACTATAGTTACAATTGTGATTACAATTGTTTTTAACTGCAATTGTAATGTAAAGCCAGAAAGGAAGGGATTAGTGGGCAATTTTTGGTGTATGTGTTTTCCTTTTGTCATCTTCAATCACGGATAACAAAGAAGAAACAAAATACTATAATTCAAGCTACAAAAATATTTTAAGAAATTACAAAAACTATATGACATTGAGAATTGTTTAAATTTAATCATCTTTGCACATATAGATCTTCCGTTCGTTTGTTTAAAGAAGTATTGTACAAACTTTGGGCTGCAAAGGCAAGGAGGAACGCAATATGTGTGGAATTAAAAAAAAAAAAAAGAAAACCTTGGAATGCCGGACGATGCCGATTAAGAAATTCCGTACGGTGGCAGTTGTAATCGAGTATGGAGACCGTACAGTCGCATTATGCCTTTCTGAAATCAAAACCAAGCATCTGGCAACAAATGAAACCGGGGGCTTCCCCAATTCAGCCGAAAAGAAGGAAATAAGTAATTAAACAGAACTGGGGTTGCCTTTCAAAAAAAAAAAAAAGGAAAGGAAAAAGGGAAGTGGGGCTTGCTATTAGTCACCCCGAATCAAGGCTGTGCAAACTGCAAATTGCAAATGGAGTAGAGTGAACCAAGACTTATAATCATTAATTGAAGTTTTGACGAAATTAAGAGTTGTTTTATAAATACAACTAGCATGTTTAGCGTGAGTAAATTATCTAGTAATGAGCAGTAATTGGGAAAATAAATGGAATATTAAACAAAATAAGAGTAGAAAAACGGTATTTTCTCGCATGGATACCAGCACAATCCTCTCAAATTAAAACAAAAAAAGAAAAAGAAAAGATACTTTTCTGTGTTAACAGTATGTTTGGTCCCAATATTTAAGAACAAATTCATCCAAATTGTCTAAGCAAATACATTAAAATTAGCATGGAATAATTAATAGCTTCTTTTTATTTATAATAATCCAATTTCACAAAAAAAAAAAAGCAGTTTAATTGAGCACTGAAAAAAAACAAAAAGCCAAGGTCCTACTTTCGTTTTGCTGCTTTTGAAACAAGTAACTGCTATTTTACAGCACCAAAGCCTGCTTTTTCCATCATCACATTATATACAAACGACGAGGAGATATCTCACCTAACAAGAAATATCGTAAGAAGAAAGGGAAAAAAACATTCTTTCTTTTTGGTTTTTCATTTATTTCCCCTACATATTTTTCTTGTTTAACTAAACCAGTTCATCAAGACTGGAAGGTTCTTGGCCTTGCCTGAGAGATTCAAGAACACGTTCAAAGACAACATCGTTAATGGGGATCCTCAACACTCCCCTTTGCTCGTACCCGTACTCTTGGGCTGATCTGTTCAGCAACTCCACGAAGATCGGGTGCCGCAGCATCTCGGCACTGATAATGAACCTCCGCCCCTGATCAATCCCCACGTATACCGGGAAATGCCCTTGCGGTACGTCCGATCTTTGCTTGGTGGGTTCCACAGGATCAGGAGGCTCAGATCGGAGCACTGAGTATTGGGTCGAGTGAGTCACCTTAACTCGTGATAGTCTTCGCATCAGTTTCTTCATAACCTTAGAAAAGAAAAAAGGAAGAAGAAGAAGAAGAAAGTTGAGAGGCAAAACGAGAGTGTTTTATAGAGAGATTACAATAAAAGAGCCTTATGGTACAAACAAGAGTACTTGAAAAGTACATAAAAAAGATGGAAAGAGAGAGAAACAAATCAATAATATTTAGGTTTGGACTATGCGTTTTTTTTAAGAGAAAGTGATCGATGGCCACATATCCCACATGCATGATCTCATGTCATGAAACTAAATATACAATACTAAGCTTCTTAAAAATTGGAAAATTACATGTGGGGTTCTTACTCCAAGTGCGTAAATTAATTTGGGAAGGGAAAGGGAAAGTTTTATGCATTTAGCCACGAGAATGAATGTTTGTAAGAGCGTAAGCATTAATTAATATATCTCATTGGGTCCATATTACATGCCAAAATGTAATTTTAAAGGACAACCCCCAATTGGTTTCGTGAAATTTTGGGTTTGTTAATCATAGCATATGGATTTCGTTGTTACGTGCAAAAGATCTTGTCCATTTCTTTTAAGTTATCGGATCAACCACCCCTTTTTTAGTTTCATTCAATACTTCATCATCATTTTGATTTTTAAAATTCAAAAATTCAATGCTCAAAGTGTTTGTCTCTATCCGATATTTTGAAAACTATTGCATGTTTCTTGCTTTTTGTATGTAATGTAAACCTATGCTCGAGTGCCATCTCTATGCCGGGTAGCTAATGAGCTTGGCCTTTTTAATGTGATAAGTTTGGAATCTTTTCTTGTAATTGTTCTGAGTGATTCAAACTAGAAATCTATTCGTTAAAGGAAAAAGTGAGTGCCCCTCCTAATTTTGCATGCTGTATCATAATGGAACCTTTATGGAACTAATTAATACATTTTCTACCTATACACGCATCTAGCTTGACGAGAGAATCACTTTTCATTTTCTACATATTTTTAATATTTTCTCCACTTGACACGACGTATACTAATTATTTATTATATATTAAATTATAATTTTATACATTAATGACAGAATATAAAATTTCACACGTCTACTAAATTAAGTATACATTAATTTTGAACTGTTTGTGAAATTCTTAAAATGCACTCTTAAATAAATGCATTATAGATAAATTGATGCATACACAACGTATATGACCTTAAAATAAAGCTTAATTATCCAACCATGGTAAAAAGAAAGATGTATAAGCAACATTGATCAGTTGACAAATTAGACTAATTATACAGTTGATCTTATATGATGTGTGCTTTGTGGTTTTTTCCCTGACTTGAGTTTACTATACCGAATGAATACATTCATGTAATTTGACCAAAAAAAAAAAGCACGTGCGTCATACTTAGGGCCTTTAGACGTGTAGAGCAATGCCATGGAAGCTGCTCCCCACCGCACTATCTCGGCAGGTTTAAACGGCTTTTACTCAAGAAAACATAGCAATTGCGATGATTGATGGATGAGAAATTGAGAAATAATAATAAATAAACAAATGAAAAGGTGAGGAGGAAAGGGGAACGTTGATTGCGTGATTGTGGTTCTCTTTCTTCTGTAGTCCGTTTCAGTACAAATTCCGTGAACAGAGCTTGTCTTCTTTTATGCTTGTGTGGCAGTGTCGTTTTCTACTCAAAAGTGTCGCAGTATGTGTTATTTGTTTTTTCTTTGCTTTGAATTTAATCAACCTACCAAGTACCAACGCTTTCTTAATAAATCCAAGGTTCCACCTAATTTTGTTGATGTCATTAGATGTAATCACTAAGCAGCCAGTTAAGAACCTACTCCTCAAACCTGTTTTCCAGAAATTAATCATTTTTTTAAAAAATAAGGATGAATAATTTATTTCCCAAAAAAAAAAAAAAGAGGGATAAGTATATCCCCTTCCATCTTTGCAAAGGACCCGCAGCAACAACAAAAACCTTGCGGGGAGCAAAATGCTTTACATCATTGTCAAGAGAACCACTAATCTATATGAGATTTGCACAGGGTCATTACAAGTTAAGAGCAGTTGCCAAAATATTAACTATCGAACGGGTCCACCAACATGAGAGAGTAAGATATTAGCTCAGACAAGGACCCATGAAAGAAAAGCAAAAGAACAAGGATAAAGCTTTCATGACAGGAAATGCCTCCAGGCAGGAAAGCGGCCAAGAAAAAAGAACTCAGATAGTGAGTGCAGCCTCCAGTTCCTGTTCAACAACTTGGGATGACCTGTGATCACAAATTCAAAGAAAGTTCTCTGGTTTGAGAATGCCTTCTTTGGTCAGGAAATCAGCCTCGTTATTTGCCGTGTGCAATATGTGTTTAATCTCTCATTCACTAATTTTACGAAAAAAAATAAAAGTTTGGATTACCAACAGTCTCAACCTCCATGGCACATCACTAGGAAAAGTGATCCATTTGACGACATTTCTGTTATCAAATTCAATAAGCAGAGGGTGAGAGATGCACCTTCCAGAGGTAGCATAAATGAGGGCGGCTTCTCTTACTGTCATCAATTCAGTCTTGTTAGAATCACAGATGCCAACAGATTTGGCGAAGAGAACTAGTACATCCTCGTGCTCATTTCGTAGGATACCACCAATCCTTGAGTCAACAGGGCAACCTCTTGAGGCACTGTCTGTGTTAAATTTTAGTCTTTCCATAAGTGGTTTGGTCCATGCCATCTTTTCCTTGGCGTTCTTATTCTTCTCAGGAGTAGTTCCCTCGCTTGAGAGCCTAGCAAGATCACCAATAGAGCCATTATGATTTGGCCATTTTGCATTTACCCAATATGCAACTCAAAGCTTCATAAGTTCAAAGATTTGTTTCTCGTCCCAAATTTTGCCGTTAAAGATAATGTCATTCCTTTTTGTCCAAATGGCCCATATGACGGCATACCAAGCCATTGTCCATATTTGCCCATTGCTAAGAGAGCTGGCCACTTCCAGCCGGGAAATGAAGCAAATCGGAGGGTCTTTATAGACAACTTAGCGCACATTTCACAAGGCTTCCCACTACTGCCACAGGTGCCAAGGTTTACCACAGAAGAAGAAAACATGGTTCACCGTTTCTGTTTGGTGTCTACATAAAAGATAGGTTGCTGCTTCAACACCAATAATGCCCCCACGAACTAGGTTGTCCTTAACAGCCAATCTTCCTTAAAGAAGCTGCTAGCAGAAAACCTTAATTTTAAAAGGGGCAAGACCAATCTAGACGTGGTTCCAATGCTTAGCCGAGGTAGAAATACGTGTGAGCACCTCCCGGCTAGAGGTATTAGGGGAATAGGTGCCATTAGGGCTATGCTTCCCAATAAGCTATTTTGAAAATCTCTATGTAGGGCCTGCTCATTGATCAAGTTGCGGAAGCTAACCCATTGATCATTAGCCCATCCAAAGATATTGTTGCGAAGTGCAATGTTCCATCTCCATTTATTATCAATCCAGTTGCGAAATTCATCAATATTTGCATCTTTATTGGCTCGCTAACGCTTAGATTCTAGGACAGTCGCACTCGAGAATAAAACTATCAACCCATTCGTCATTCTAGAAACTTAATATGACAACCGTTACTCAAAGACAACCTCATGCCTCCCACAACATAAGAGCTGAACTCACAAGAACCATAAAAAGGCTTGGTGAAATTTTTCCACAGGTTTGAAGCTTCACTCAGGTTACCTTGCTCAAGAATAATTTTATTTTGATCCAAACTAGATTTTGCAGCAACAAGATTTGGACTAACTTATAGGAACCATTTGAAAATTTTTTCAATCGCTGTCTTGATTTTTGTCGGCATCTGAAACAATGACATATGGAAGAGAGGCAGACTACTCAATGCAGATTTGAGAAGTGTGATACCCCCGCTCATCGAAAGAGTTTTAGCCTTCCCAGAGTAGAGCCTACTTTCCATTTTTCTAACAGTTGGCTGCCAAACACTAGTAGAACACGAGACAGCTCCCAACGGTAGTCCGAGATAAGTTGCTGGCAGAGTACAAACTCTACAATTAATCATACCAGCCCAAGAGTTCACAAGATTCAAGTCAATCCCAACATCGTAGACATGACTCTTCTAGAAGTTAATTTTCAAACCAGAAGCCACAAACATTTTAACAACCGTTTTAACATTAATAGAAAAGTAAGGCTAGGCTTACAGAAAATTACCGTGTCATTGGCATATTGGAGATGGGAAACAAAGACTCCAGTAGAACCTATTGCAACCCCTCTGATGAGCTACTTATGGATAGCCTTGAACATGAGTGCACTAAAGGTTTTAGCAACCAGGTTAAAGGCATCGACAGTGATGGACAACCTTGCCTAAGTCCCCTCCTCAGGTGTCAGAAATGAATCAATATAACTTGAAAATAAAAGAGACTTATTTAATTAAAGTTTGGAAATATGGAATGATTTATTTGTTTCAGTATGAGCCCAAGGGGATCAACTCTCTCCTTAAAAGGAAAAAAAATGCTTTCTTAAAGGGAGAACAAGATGAGTTGTTAGAGTTCACTGCTCATCACATTATTAGTCATTAAGTTTGAAGTTATCATTTCCTTTATTCATAAGTAAAGAAATAAATTCACATTAATGGAGCTAATAATAAAGAGATTGGAAAGGTCAAGCAACGTGAGCGTGGCTTTAATTATGGGAACATGACTTGTTTTAAAGGTTTTTGATGTGAAATTGTTAGACCTTTCAATAAAATCAGTGTTTGTACTCTATAATTCTTGATATGATACTGGGTAGTTAAAAATAACATTTAAAACTATCTTACTCAATGTGAACAAAAAAAAATCTACAGTTATGATACATTAATTTTAAGAATTTAGAAAATAAATAACTCTAACAAATCCTTATCTTCAAGTAAAATATTTGAATCTTGTTTAGATGGCAATCATGCTTCAAGGTTTGAATAATCATCATCTAGTATTCATTATTATAAAAGAAAAAGAGATAGTGAGTTTTAATTTATCTAAAATTATTAATTTGACAAGAAAAAATTAGAGACATTGAAACATATAAAATAAATAATACAATCAATAGTTAAATTATTAATTTTATATAATTAAATATATAAAATTATTACATTAACTAAAATTATTAATTTTTTTCATTTGGCCACAGGGTTGGCCTGCACCAACTCGAGATAATCCACCGATTAGATGGGTTAACTCATCAAGACCCGATTCTAATATGGGTCTGAATTTTCATACCCTTACCCATCTCACTTTTAATAAAAAATGAACTGACCCAATGAGTTAAGTTCATTTTGAGAGGACTAGTTATTTGTATGTCGCATAGTATTGATGTCATATACTAACATGTTATAATGGCAACTGATGTGGCATTTCACTTTTCACGCTAGTGCCATATAAACTTAGTCAATTATTAGCTACGATAATTTATTTGATTTAAAATAAAAGTATAAAAATTTAAATGAGTCTACTAGTATATATAACTCATTCAAATTTTTTTAAATAATTTTAAGATTTTAGATAAATTATAAAATATTTATCTTTAAGTCAATTGTCACGATTTTTGTTTATACTTTTTCTTTCCAAAAATGATGTACGTACGTATGCCAATTAATTCCAACTATATGTGTTAATGGCCAAAAACGTTTTAAGGTTATTATCCAATCAAACTAATAAATCCAATTCTAGCTGAATTTAAGCAAAATGAGTACTCGAATGATTTAGTAGGCCATGTTAACAAAAAAACCATTGCATAAATATGTACTATTCATGTAATATTTTACATATTTTAAATATTTTAATAAAAATATATTTTCTATTCAAAAAAATTTTCAATCAAACTTTTTAGCACAAATTTGTAATTTTTTTAAAAAAAATATCAGGATAATTTTGTAATCATTAGAATGAGCATCCATATAAATGGACGGGGTTTTCTTACCGGGCCACCAATTACAAGCCCGTAATTCTATGCCGAAGTCGGCCTGCCATGGGCCGCGATCCGTAAAGAAGGCGGTGTTATCGCAGGTCATTTTCTTAGTTTAAATAACCAAAGTATAAACCGTACTGAACGCGTGGATCCAACGTTTCAAAACAAAAAAGAGAAAAAGACAGCGAAAGGTTTTCCGCCTTCAAAGTGTGTTCTGTCCAGTGTTCTACCCTCGCTCTCTCATCTAGAAAGAAAGAAAAAAAAAACTCTCTTGCCCAGTTCTCCAAAACCGCGGAGGCGGCACTGCTGTTTTGGCCGTCAATCTCCACTCTCAAAACATGGTATGATAATCTTTTATTGCTTCGTCTAATTTTGGTTTTAGTAATTTCTTTTGTTGGAAACTACGAAGTTTTGATCGTTGTTGGATTAATTCTTAGGTGGAGAAGAACGCGGGAGCTCTGTCTTTTAACGTGGGCACAAATGGAGTCTTGCGTAAACGTAAGTCGCGTTCTAAATCTGATGGTGATCTATCTGATATCGATGACGCTGAGGTGCGTACCTTACGAAATACTTGTTTTCATTTCGGGTTTTTGTTTTTTTAAATTTAATTAATCCTAACTGCATTGTAGATTACCGGATATCTTAACAACAACACAGAGATGCTTTTCAAGAAGATGGTTTGGGAAGCTATGAATAAAGATTATCGAAAGGTATTTTATTTTCTTCTCTCCTCTCTCTCTTTGTTTGTGTTTCATTTTTCTAAACTATTATGTGAATGTCTTTAAGTTTATACTACAGTTTTTAAGAACTCTAACAAAGAGGGGAACAAGTTGTAGAGGAAAAATGAAACTGATTGTTTCCTGCTTGTTTGAATAATTGGAGTTTAGGGGATGAGATATCCTAATATCTAGTATCAATGTCGCTTCGTGTTCTAGATGTTTTAGCAAATAAGTTAGCAGAGTGAGCCTCGAAGGTAGATGCAAGTCTTTCAGCTGAGAATTATCAATGAAGCTTGTCAGCAGAGGTGCTGAAGGTATATATTGTTTTTCCTTAATAGTTTAGTTCAAAAAAAAAAAAAACCGAATTCTTAGCCAGTTTAACTTTTAGGTGACTTCAGTTGTAAAATATTTCTTTGGATTTCGTAGTTCTTGCATATTGCCTGAGTTAGAAGCATATTAATTTAATAAGTAATCTTTATTTTCTGAGTGAAGTTATGAGCTACTGGAGATATACAATTTTTTTTTTTTGATAAGATGGAGTTATACAAATTGGTTAGCTAGTTACTGCAATTTTTATCAGAAATTCTAAATTGGTTAGTAGATTGCTAAAAGAGGATCCATTGGAACTAGAATGTGAGCTCTTGTATGCCCTTGCTAACCTTTAAATGATATTTCCTGGTTAATATAAGTAAGATATGCGAATGAAGATAAAGATTAATTAAGGAGTGGAAGAGATATGATGAGGGATGAATGAGAAGAGGTAGTTCTCTGTTCTCTCTGTCTTTGCAGTTGCAAATTGCCGTTTGGAAAATAGAATGTTGCCGTGTGTGCTAAACTGCACAAAGTCCAAGTGGTCATGTTAACTGCTAATGCTTCAAGTCTACCATTGGAGTCCAATGTCAGAACTGCTTTCCCCTTGATGTCATATTCTTTTTGGCATGCATATAACAACTGGCACATGCCTTTATTTATCACGTGCCTATCAACATTTCGTAGTTCTATTTGTTCATACATTTTGTTTGTCTGAATTAATGTTAGAACTTGCATTTACTTATACTTTTATCATCAATCACTTTCTTGGAGTCCTAGACCATGCATTTGGTTTGTCTTGCATTCAAATTTGTGATGTGCGGTAATGAATCTAGGCAGTGGTTTTAGCTTGAACTGTACAATCACTTCATCAAACACTGGAAACTTGTGTCACAAGTTTTGCTTGTTCCTTTATTATATCTGTTGCTCTCTTAAAGTTCATGGCTAATATCTTTAGTTAATCCTGATCATCATCATGTCTTTGGTTAAGGATTATGAGGGCATCTGTATGCTGGTGCCAACAAATATAAAAACTGGGTTAGCTACTGATTCTATTTTGGCCTCAACTTATTCAAATTCTCCAATATCTTATATATATATATATAATATATTTTTTTTTTTTTTTTTTTGTCAGCAAAAACAAAAAAAGCCTACTATGGGAAAGAAATCTACTTCTGCTAAGAAAGCTGTTGCTAGCAGGATGGAAAAAAGAAAGGAAGAGGAAAAGGAGAATAAAATGGTAAGTATAGAGAAAGTTGTTAGCTATACCAAGTGTTCCTCGCATGTAACATATCCCTTGTTGAAGTTCCGTTTATTTACAGATGAGTGGTAAGTAATGTCATGGCATGCTTTCTTGCAACACTGTAGAAAATTTCACTAGTAATCTTATGAATTTTTTACATTTCATATCCGTGCCTTGCTGAGATGCTTCTTTATATTGTTAAAGTTCTCTTTAAGTTTTCTTCCAGAGTAATTATTTGTGGTCCTATTTTTTTCACTTTTTTTCATATTGATGTGGATTTTTTTCCTCCTTTGTAGAGGCTGAGTTCAAAAATCAACTATGATGCATTGGAGAAGCTAAGTGATGAGCCTGTACTCTCTCTCTCTCTCTCTATGGTATATTATATTATAGTAATTTATGTTAGAAATAGCTTGCATATAATGCTTTAATTGAACACAAATTGTCACTGTTATTCAACGTATTTACGCAAATTTTCTCTGAATATTTGCACATCTGTACTCTCTTGATTAACATCTGATAGATTGCTTTGTATTTCTTCTTTGAAGAGAACCTCTAATCAAGCAGGAAAAAAATAGTAGTAGAAATGTTCACATACATGATCTTGTGCTCATATGCTTTCACCAGATCATGCAGTTGTCAATAATCTTTTTAGAATTCAATTATCTTGTGAATCCATGGTTTGTTAACACAAATATTAGGTTGTGTGAAGCTTGTCAAAAAAGTGGGTGGTAGGTTTCATTAGATACTAAAGCATGAGAAACTTTCAAAAAATAGTGCAAAGGAAATGTCTGATAGTGTGATATCTGATGGTATTCTTCTTGATTTCATCACAATTACTACAAATGCATCAGCTATATTTAGTGTGAGAAACTTTACAAATCCTATATTGATATTGACATTGCCAATGTAATGATCAGGTTAAGATGGGTTTTTATTTGGATCTTACATTTGTATTTTTACTTGGTCTGCTTAAGTATTTGTAGGGATGACTTGCTGTTGAATAACATACTACTCTAAGACAGAATTTACCTATAAGTATCTATATAGTTTGTATTAACATATCAGTTTCATATTTCTACCATCAGTAACCATTGGCTTTTGGTCTCCTTGCATTTGTCTAACTGGTTAGAGAAAGACTTGGACTTTCATCTTCTTTTCATCTTAAATATGCTACATTTTGCTTTTGATTGGGAAATGACAGATATCAGACCATGACAGTTTGCCTAAGACCTGATATTATGTTGATACCTAAGAGACAAGAACAGTAGAAGTGTAAGAAATCAAACTATAGACCAACCATCTCTTTGAGATAATCCAAAATTTAATTAGAAAGTTTTACACCTGGATTTTGTGGATGTACTTAATTGATTTTCTTATAGGAAGAAGTTGCTGAAAAGACTAAGACGAATAGTATAGACTTGAACTGGGGCAATCAAATTGACACACAGCAGTCCAGAGGAACATCAGGAACATCGGGTTTGGAAATATGTGGTTTTGAGGAAGACATTTTCAGTGATGAGGTTGAGCCTGAAAATTGTAATCTATACTCCTATGGAGATGGGGAAGAGGATGGATATGGCTATAGGGAAGATTATAACTATGAAGAATTTTGAGGGTAAAGTTCTTTTGTCGATATTCTAGTGCTGTTAAGTTTCTAGGCAGGCTTTTAGGTCACAATTATGTGATGAAATTTTGCATAGTTGGCTGCTATTGCTGCAACAGTTTTGCAACTTGTGAAAATACATGATGCAACTTATTGCTCCAAATAATGGAGTTATTTTGTAAGATTACTTTTTGTTAAACGTCGGTATGATATTGATATTTGTGTCTTATAATCTATATTTTCAACTTGAAAGACATGTTTATTAAGTGGAGGAAAACTTTTATTTATAAGTTTAAGATTAATCTTATCTTTTATTGATGTAAAATTTTTGATATTTTATCTCATTTAATTGTGCAATGCTCTTATTACATTGATTTTTTTACTCATAAAAAAGAAAGATTTATTTTGATTTGGATTGATTTCAATCGTAGTATCTCTCATTAATCTTACATAAATGAAAAATTGAGTAGGTTTTTTCACGAGTTATATTTTCAATTTAAAAAATATTGATTGAAGTAAGATTACGTATAAATCTAAAATTTATCCCATCTAATATTGATACGAGATTTATAATATAAGCATGAATAATTTATGATATAAGCATGAGTCATTGGGATAAGGTTGTGACTCGTGTGAAGGCGAATGCTCGCACTTGTAACTTGTGAGTGCTCAAGGTGCGTTAGCATGACGTGCCTAATATTACAAATGAAAGGATGAAAAATGGATATTTTGATTGTAGTTTTGGATCTACTGGAAGTGGCGGTCCAAGGAATTTTGAACGCGAAAGGTGATGGATATAGGCTTTTGCCTATTGGGTGGATGGAAACGGATCATTCATATCTTGGGCGTTAGTCAAACCAAGCCGTCAATGTGCAGCGGCTTAGCTTTGCGACCGTGATCACAACCTGCAGATGTGATATTTCCTTTGTCGGCTCATACATGAACGGGGTCCTTTTGGCTGTGGCCCTTACACGTCCTGCTTTTTCTGCCGTTGTTTATTTTTGGTTTACTGGTTCTCTTCATAAATGAGATCGGAAAGCAAGACACATTTCTTCCTTCTTTAGGTCCCACAGAGAAGAATATGTAGTACTGCTACAAAATAAACAAAGTACTAAATGGCGTTTGGTTTTAACTTTTGACATTTGTCAAGTAGTTCGGTAAAAAAGTATGAAGGAAGGAATGCTAGGATATTCCCCTGGCCTAGGAGCAGGGTATCTTCAAGCGTAAATTACCAACAAAGATCGATTCGAATTAGTTAATTCATTTATTTTATTTTTGTTGTTATTATTTAAAATAAGTGAAAATATTGCATATTCATGCGTGGTTGGAAAATTGGAAAAGTCTATTGCATGCAGACTTTTATTGATCATGGAGAAGAAGCAAGCAAATTCGTGCCACGTGTTTCTAGACTGTACCGCGTTGAATCAGTTTGTGAATGTTGCGTTCAAATATTCTATTAAGTGAAACAGGCGCCAAAATAGAGGTGGTGGGAACACTGGTGCAACATGTGTTCTCTTCTCCTGTGTCCTCATCTGTTTAGGTAGCCAGTCATATTTCCTGACCCCTCGAGTTTGAAAATTTTGCAGTGTGTTGATGTAATAAAAACGTTTTTAGTACGCCATATTCTCGTGGTCCGCCATGGGACCGTATTTGTCATAAAGCTGAGATTCTTTATTGATGGTACAGCTTGATTCCCTTCTCCTCTAACCGCCCGTTCTGGTTCATAGAAAAATGTCTCACAGAAGAAAATAGGATTTCATGTTGGAGCTCCAAATATATGTTACTTGGATCGGATAAGAGACGATTTGTTAAAATCAAAGATTTAAAGTAAAATATTTAAATTAAATTTTTTATTAAAATTTTATTTTTTAACTTTTTGATATGTAAAATTTTTAATTAAATTTTTATAATTAAGTTTTTTAATATATTTTTTATTTTGATAATATAGTTAATATGTTTAATCTTTTTTGAAACATTATTTATTTTAAATAAGATTTTATTAATTTTAATTTCAAAAAATTTCTTTCTTCTAAAATAACATTTATTGAAATTTATTAATATTATTTTAAAAACAATATATGCAGTTAGAAAAGAATCGAGTTTTTTTATAAAATTAAGTATATTGATCGGATTATTATTTTTTATTTGTACAATTTTTTTTCAAAGTTTTAACTTTGAAAACCATCAATATAAAAAAATTGTAATATTTTAAAGAAACAATATTTTTTCAAACTATTAACTTCAAGTTTTTACTGCTAAATGAGCAAAATGGTCAGAGGATGATGGAGATATGGGAAATGAGGAGGGGATTGAGATCCCACTCATAGGCATAAGAAAAGAACAGGAAAAAACCCTCAGGAACCCTTAGTGGTGTTCCTTGATCATCAAATTGTTGGGAAAGCCCTTGAGTTTCTCATCTCTTCAATGTCAAGTATTCAAGCTTTGGAATCTTAAGGGTGAGGCTAAATTAATTGATCTAGGGCTTGGGTATTATGAGGCAATCCACAAAACATGCTTTGGTTGCGAAATAATGGGTCATCGCATGGAGAACTGTTCTTAAAGGATGGAAGCGGCTGCACCTATGGCAGTAGGAATAATGTAGCCTTTTCACCACTTGATCTTAAAAAATGTTTATTTACTAATTGCTCTGACAATTCTGTTGGTGTGGATAATGTGTCCTGGAGTATACAATTCCCTTTGACTCTATGGTTCATTTGGAAGAATTGAAACATCTACATCTTTCAAACCATTAAGACTCCCTTAATCGAGTGAGGAATAGTGCCAGAATAACGGCAAAGGAGAATGGCAGGGTGTTAGAGAAGAAATCGAGAACTAATATTGCGCCTCGATGGGTGAAGTGGCACCCACCACGATTGGGTCAATTTGTTCTTAATACAGATGGGGTTGTTGAGTCAAGTTCAAAGTGTGCTTCCGCTGATGGGCTGATATGTAATAGTGGCGGAGAATAGATTAGTGGACCTGTGTCAAACATTGCCATCACTGATAGTTTAATGGCGTAACTCTGGGGTATTAGAAAGGGTCTAATTTTGACAAAATCAATGGAACTAACCAAAGTTGTAATTGAACGTAACGCAGAACTGGTAGTTTACTTTCTGAAGAAAGGGGTTGAAGCTACTCATCCATACTCTACATTGATTCAAGATGTGATTGCTCTAATACTGGGAGGATGGATCATAGAATTTTGGCATATACTCAGAGAAGAGAATAAGTGTGTTGATTTCCTTGCAAATTTAGCCCAAAATTGTAGATTTAGGACTATGGCACTAACCAATCCGCCTTTGGACCCTCTTCCCCTTCTAGAGAATGATAAGCTGCAAATACCTTGTATAAGAATGTAAGTAAGGTCTTTTTAGCCTACATCATATGTACAAAAAAAAAAAACCTTTTATTGTTAAATAGAAAATTAAAAATATTTTCATATATCTTAAATTATTCAAATTTACTTTAGAAAGAAAAAATTGCTTGATCTAATATGTATAAAAAGTAATCAATTCTAAATAATTCTTCAAGAGATCTTGTTATTTCATTAAAAACATTCTCATTAAATTGATTTTTTTTACGAAAGATTCGTGTATTACAAAATTTATGTTTTACATTCATTTTAAATGTAATTTCTTTAGAAAAAATCAGAGTAAATGCAAATCCGCCTTTTAATTGTTGGGAATTATTTTTATTGTAGGAATTACAAAATAAAAAATTAAAATTTATTAGATACATAATTAGAGAAATAAGATAATATATATTATTTTATTAATTATCTATTTTTAATGAGAAATGAGATAAATAATTAAAAATTAATAAGATGTAAAAATGAGAGAAAATATATATATGATAGGAGAGAATATGTAAATATTTTATTAATTATTTTAATTTTTATATATTTTAAATATAATTAATTATATTATACTTATTATAAAATTATAAAATCTTCCAAAATAGGGCATCTAAAATTCTTGCTTGGTGACTTTACCCGAAGACCGGCCCTGATTGGGATTGGGACAAGATGGCTGCTACAATCCTCCCATGAGTAGTGTGTAAATATTATTAATCTTTATAAATTTTGCTGTTTATGCCATTTTAACTTTTTTTTTTATAAAACCATACGAATTTCACTTTACAGTTTAAAGTGAAAAAGCAAGTATGCAATTTAACCGATCTAGTGTCTTTATAAAATAAACACTAGGCATCAAGGCGACTTTTCATAATAACCATGCATTGATTCCACTTGCAGAAACTTTCAATAAAAAACGATCAACCGTTTCACCTAGAATCCAGCTACAAGCACTGCGTTTGACTTGACTTAGACATTAAAATTTGATAAAATGAACATCGATAAAGCTCCCAAGTCGGAACCCGAAGTGGCAGAGCCCCTTGCCAGCTGGCATAGCAGGTACAGCACACCGCTGTCTGCGGCCTATTGAAGTGAGTGTAGGCTTATAGTGTTTTCCTCAAGTTGCCAACTTCCAATTATAATTGAGAACACGCTGACAAACGGTTGGCAACTTGTGCCAAAATCAATAACTAGTTCCAGAGTTCAAATATTTTTGTTAATTTCTTTGTATTGACCAGGCTAGCTCCGAGTCGATGCTTTCTACCTCCGTACAACGAGATGTTCATAAGAGGTGACTGAGAAGCAGGAGCAAACGTCCAGTTTCCTGTCTGTGGAGAGAGAAAAGATGATTTTGAGGCTGAAGCCACCGTCTTCTTCCATATGCCTTGTGCTCTTCTTTGTCTTCTTTTCGTGCAGCAAATCCAATGCCCAGAATGCTACCACTGACCCCTCTGAAGGTACTGATTTCTCAGTCTCTTTCTCTGTTTCTCTCCCTTTATATCTAGATATGTGTATGTCTCTGCAGAATCCAAGCTATGCAATCTTCAATCATGTTAGTAGAGTTAGTAGAAAACGGTGGAACAGGTAATCATATAAGAAACAAATGAAACAACATCGTATCATATCAAGATCATCTATGTTCAATTCTTAAACTAGGAATACACCGATACTATCCGAACTCCTCAGATATCAGCTGTCTTCTGCTAATTAATCTTCAGCTATGAATCCACTCCGTAACACAAACACACACACTCTCTCTCTGCCTATCTCTCAGACAAAAGGTTATTGCAGATAAATTTTGGTTTTCTTTTGGAAGTGGTAGGTTGTGTCAGAATTTTATATACCAGTTAGTTGCCATCCGAATATTCGTTTGCCTAACAAGTACAAACAGATGCCACTATATACTTCCAACTAATGATCTTTAAAAAATATTATCTGAATCATTATATGTTTGTTATTTTGGCATGATAATGGTGAAGCAACATTCATACCTTTCGTTTCTTAAAATCCAAACGAGTTTGTCCAGATCATCGAAATTTTAATTGAATTCAGTCATCCATTTTTTTCTCAATAAATTCATATCTGGGTGCTTTTACAATATTGAAGTTCATCTATTTAATGGAAATTCTTGGAATATTATGCTATGCTTGTGCGCAGAAGTTCAAACCAGTTCAGAAGTTTTTATTGCTTGCTTTGAAATTTTCTTTAATGAAGATACAAAATGTAACAGTAATAATTAACCTGTTATTGGGCAAATCAAAACGAATATGATATTTTCAAAACCAATGTAATAGTCATAGATATTTTCAAAAGCAATCAGGCTCATTATTTTGGTGCAAATATGATTATATTTACGCTGTCCAGGTCAAAAGGAACCTCTCTCATCCACCTAAGTCTTCATCAGGCGATTACATTTATGCTTTCAACTTGTCATTTTTCATCAGAGGGCGTAAGCATGCTGAAACTTTTGAAAGCTTCCGCCTTCCATTGACTGTTTTGCCCATTAAAAAAAAAAGATTATCATCAAAGAATTTTGTGCCATTGCCCTCATCCATCTCTTTGTCAAACATTTAATTAGAAATTGTTGACTGTTCCTTCTTACTGTTAATTCTCCTAAAGTTAATAACTACAATATATAAAACTTTTTGGACAGTATTGTCATTTTCGTATTGTGTTTGATTTGACTATATCGAGAAAAGATTCTAATTTGTATTTGTCCTTACCGAATGCACCCAGCCAGGCCGTACAATTTAGATCTGTCGTTTTCATTGTCCAAATGTGAATTCTTTGAGCTTTCGCTTTTGCTTTATGAGCGTTGATTATAATTGGCTATTATTGTCAACAGAAATATTTTTCCAGCTTTGAACAATCTTTAGCCTTGATAATTCTGCTTAAGGGTTACGCATGGGCTAAATTCTTGGTATCAGCTCCGTACACAAACGTTAATTAATAGCTCTTTCATTTCTGTTATGATTCACAAGTTAGCTTCACATGAAGAAATTCATCTCTATTTTCTACTAATAAGTTCCCTGAGAATTGACTTTTGGACTTAAATTATTAATATAAGTGAAATAAATATATATTGGTAGATTAATTGAAGCCTTCTGTTTTGGGGCCGCAAGCCAATTATCTTTTTCCTTAACTATTTCCAGTTAATTAAGAAGCTCTTGAACAATTTGTAGAATGGAAAAAGGGGGAAATATGGGTTTAGCAGGTTTTACATGTGTCATTGACCTTTGAAAAAAAACAAAGAAGAAGTTTGATCAAAGTTCAGTTTTGCTTCTAAATGGTCTCATATTCCACTGTATGCTTTATTGCTTTTAGATAGAGAAATATATGTACTTTTGACCAAGTGTTCTTCCACAACTAAATATTAATACCATATTTGACTTTTGTTTAAGAGAAAATGAACAAAGTAATTATGGGCAAAAAAAAAAAAAACTATAGGAATTAAAGTTATGTTTGATCAACTCAATTATGAATTTGACTAAATATATTATAGTATAGAATGATAATTAGTATGATATATTAATATAAAATGGAAAAGTTTCCTCTCTTCTGACAATCATTTTAGTATTAGAATCTTCAAGCTGATTTTTAAAATATCAGTAGAAAATGTTAATAGTACTTATTATTTCTGATAGAATTCTGTGTTCTTAGCCATAATTAATTATGTTGGTAATGTCCTAACATGTTTTAATTTTTCTTGGATTATTATTAATGGGAAACAGTAAGGGCATTGAACACAATCTTCCAAAAATGGGATACACAAGCTGTGGCATCATGGAACAACAGTGGAGAGCCATGCAGTGGGCTTGCACTTAGTCCAAGTGATTCTGTGTTTGAAGATGGTGCTAATAACCCAGCTATCAGATGTGATTGTTCTTTCAACAACAACACTCTCTGCCACATCACTAGACTGTATGCTTGCACTCTCGCTTTCTTCTTCATTTCCTCTTTTCGTATATACGATATAAATATTAATTATTAATATTGAAGTACCAGTTAATTTAAAAAAAAATGGTAGTACCAGTTAAAATAAGGCCAAGGTCCAGCTCCAACTAGTCCATATTGACTAGTAATATTGAAATGGATCTTCCGGAAAGATTTAAGCATAAGGTTTTCATATATTGTAGTTTAATTAGAAATCTTTTTGAATCACATTGTGTTGCAAGTAATCCTGCCACATTCCAAATGAATTCACGTTATGATGACTTGAATCAATAGCCTTGTGGGGGTTCTAATGGTTTACATGTTTATACACTTTTGTCAGGAGGGTATACGCTCTGGATAAACGAGGAGTGTTACCAGAGGAGCTTTTGGATTTGCCTTTTCTGACATTCTTGTAAGAATGTTCTTTTCCCTCTCTTTTTCTCCTCGATTTTTAAGATTTCCAAATGAATACAGATTTTATAGTATTTACCATATCAGTAACTGTAAGGATGTCTTTTATTCATGGTAAATAGCTAATTGTATTCATTATAATGGGAGAGTAACTAACATTTATTCCTTGTTTGATGATGCAGGAAGATTGATCAAAACTTCTTTAGTGGTTCCTTGCCAGCCTTTATTGGAAATATGTCTAAACTAGAGTTATTGTAAGTACTGAAGTCTGGTCTCCTTTTTGGTACAACATTATCTCTCTGAAATTTGCAAAATCTATCTAGCTTTGTAATGGTTTCAGGCCTTAACAACAAGTTTCCAGTAGGAGTAGTTAAGGATTATCAACATAATAAAGAAAGGAGCCAAAAAAGGCCACTTCCATGCCTAATTCAGTAGTGGGTTTCAACTATGGGATTACCTTCAACTAATAACTAGTGGAACTCATAAATTTAATCTCATTCCCTGTCATACATGGAAGCATGGTTTTTATAACGAAGATGAACCACTAAAGTGTTAAACTCCTCTCTCTTTTATTCTAGCATAGAAAATCATTCTTTTTCCTTATTTTCATGTATATTTTCCTTTTTTTTATTGGTACAATATGTTTCATTTATTTTTGACATGGTAATTGTGCACACTTGAAATATAACTACTCATTTAAAATATTATTATTGCAAACTTATTATGTTCAAGGAGACACTATTCTTGAGATTATTTATTTGTTTTAATTTGTACAGGTCAATTGCCCACAATGATTTCTCAGGACCCATTCCAAAGGAGCTTGGAAATCTTAAGGAGCTATATATGCTGTAAGACTTGAAAAAACTCTCTAAAAATGAAACAGGGTTCTTTTGTCACCTTAAAGAATCAATTAGTTCTGGTTTTTAGGCAAACATTTACTCTTTTATGCTACCATATGCCTTAAAGAATAAAGTAATTGATATTGTCTTTCATACTTGTCAAGGAATACAATTATTCTAGCTTTTGATTTGAAGGATACTGCTGCTTGTAGATGTAGTTGCTTGTACATGTTCTGCTAAAGTGCTGTTGCTTTAATACCACAAATCTAAACTAGATATAATCAGTTCTTCTCTATTAAATTTAAGGATATAAGTAATATACACTTCCTGTTTAATTCGATCACTTCATCTTCATGAGATTATCCAACTTTATTTACAGTCAAACATAAGATTTCACTGATTGCAATTATAATCATTCACAATCACTGTTGTATAACCAAAACATCAGAACATAGAGAAGAACCACCTCACAACAGAAAATTTGGTATGCCACTCAGACATCTTTCTTAATACACCTTATTTAAATTAGAATTTCTGATGAAACTCCTCAAAAGAGTTAGATGTGAATTCTCTGGAAAAGTTTTCTGATTTGTTCTCTCTTTTGTTAAAATTGCATGATTTGTATCCATTCAGGTATATACATTGTATGGTATAAAAATAAATCGGTTCTTATATATGATTTCTGCAAAAAGTATTTATGTGAATCTATGTCATGCAGGTCTTTTGGTCATAATAATTTCTCAGGAACATTCCCTCCAGAGCTTGGTAATTTAGTCAACCTTCAACAAATGTAAGTTCTAACCTTTTTTAGTTCTTTTCAGGTGATTTTGTTCACAGGTTTACCATGTGAAATTATAACAACATTGGTTTGTAAATGTGACAGTTACATTAACAGTTGTGGATTGGGTGGTGAGATTCCCTCAACATTTGCTAGCCTTGAAAAACTGGAAATTGTGTAAGAAAGACCTAGGGATTGTGACCCTTCCATATGTTTATTGCCCTTTGTGTCTCCAGGACCTGCAAATTGCCGTACATTACCTTACCTTATTAACAGTGAGCTTTGCTGAATTTCAGGTGGGCATCTGACGTTGCTTTCACAGGCACAATACCCGACTTTATTGGCAATAACTGGACAAAGCTTACATCATTGTATGTTATGAAAACATTTTAGTTAATCTTTCAAATTAGTTCTCCCTGAATCAGCATTAAGGATAGCTCTGCCTAGATTTTTCATCAGTTTGACTAGTGATCTGTCACATGTTTGTACAGGAGATTTGAAGGGAACTCTTTTGCAGGACCAATACCATCCAGTTTTGCGAACTTAACCTCATTGGAGTCTTTGTGAGTAGATATCTTGTTTTTTCTGACACTTTCCCACACAGTGGGGCTCTTTCTCATTTTGTGCATACTTGTGCTTGTATGTATATAGGAATGTGTCTTTGATGCTTGTATATAATCATGTAGGCGAATTGGTGGTATATACAATGGAAGCTCTTCTCTTGGTTTTGTAAGAAATCTAAGGAACTTGACTGACTTGTGAGTTAAGCATACTCTTTACTTCTTGTACTCATCTGTTACTTCTTTTTGGGAAAAGAAAATGAATGTTTTCATCTAAATTTGTCGACTAAAAGACTTATTAAGCTTTTTTTTTTGTTTCTTTTTATTTCCTGTAGAGTTCTAAGAAATGTCTTACTCACTGGTAATTTGCCATCTTATATCACCGAATTACAATCTTTACAAAAGCTGTAAGTTTTATTTACAGATTAACTGCTTCTGTAGTTTATCATATTTGCTTCTGCTTTATTTATTTATTTTTTAATTTGTCTGCTTCCAGGGATTTGAGTTTCAACAACTTAGCAGGCCAAATTCCAAGTGCTTTGCTCAATATGAATTCTCTTATATACTTGTAAGCTTTAAAAAAACCATCCCTTCAATTGTTAAAAATCTCATTTTATGTATCTTGGACTTTTTGTGAGCTGTAAGTTTTATATAGATAGCATCATTCTCCTCTGTTGTTTTTTCTAATCAACTGGCCAGGTTTCTTGGAAATAATAGTCTGTCAGGTACCCTTCCGAGCCAAAAGAGCGATACTCTTCAGACTATGTAAGTCATCCTATCAAACCAACTTATTTCATTGCATCAATTTGGCATTATCCTGCTGACTGATGTTGTTAATTCTCACACGATGCATAAACCAGTCTCCCAATAAAACAATGTCATCGCCGCCTTTAGAGGAAAAGGAGGGCTTGGGAAGTTGTAGGGGCTGGTATCTTTTGTAGCATACCTTGGATGGCATGAGTTGACTAAGGACAACCATCTGTTACTGCAACCACTTATAATTTTGCAATGGCATCATCCTGAAGATGCATTTTTGCTAAATTCTTGGATGAGAGAAAAAGGAAATAGACTAGTCAAAAAACAAATCTCTTGTAGGTTGCATTGCTAAATTGGTTTATGGTTTTGAGTGGTTACAAATAAAATTCTCGAAAAGAATTTTCCATAGCAGCTTCTTATGTTCCTCACCATTTTCAGTAATCTTTAAGTTGCATGTTTCAATCTCCCTTTTCTTCCATGATGGAAGAGGGTTGGGGAAGTAGCTGCAGGGTAAATCCTCCATGCAAGTTCAATTAGAAGTTTCTTTTTCATTGAATATGATTCTTAAACATCCACCATCTGGTATTAACCATAATTGAAGCCATCAGTCAGTATCTTCCACCTAGAGAACCATCAAACAGTAAAAGCAGTTAAATCCTGTTTCTGATAATATGTTCATACCCCTACTTACTTTTTGCTAATGTACTTCTCTGTGCAGAGATTTATCATACAATTTTCTATCAGGAAACTTGCCATCATGGATAAACTCAGGCTTACAACTGTATGTATCTCAAATCATGATACTTCCTTTAGTTACCTTTCTTTTCTGATTTTAACACTATGCTTTGAAGCTTAAGGCTTTTTTGGTGCTCAAATGGAGCTTACTTTCTCATATTGATAACTTAACGTTAAAAGGAACCAATTGCAAATCAATGCCAATATTTAATGGTGTACTTTGTTCACACATTGTCAAAAGGATTTAGGACATATACTTAAAAGACATTGTTAAGAGGTTGTTTCATGACATTTTATGTAGGAATTTGGTGGCCAATAACTTCACATCCAACAGCTCAAACATAAGGTGAGTTATCATCCTGTGGCACCCTTTTTTTCCCTTCTTTCCATATTTTCCCAATGAGTAAAAGTGTAAAACTATCTGGAAAGAATTGTTGTACACCTATGAAACCAAATGCTTTCTACTATCTCTGTTATGTGATGCATTGATTTTAGAATGCCTAATCCAGTAATTGCTTTGAAATTCCACAGGCTTTTGCAAGGATTAGAATGCCTTCAAAGAAGCTTTCCATGCAATAGAAACACTCCACGATGTAAGCTTAGCTGTAACTTTGGAACCAGCATTTGTTTTTGAGGTTTCAATTATATATAGATTAATCATGACAAATGCTTAGTAGTTCGCTAACATATTTCAATGTTGGCATTGGCAGATGCAAACTTCTCAATCAAGTGCGGTGGCCCACAGATGACATCTAATGGGATAGTGTTTGAGGCTGAGAACAGTACTACTCTAGGTGCAGCATCTTTTAATGTAACCAGTACACAGAAATGGGCAGTTAGCAATGTTGGCTTGTTTGCAGACAGACGAAATCAAAAGTATGTGGAAAACACCTTTGCACAAGTGAGAAGTACAGGCACTCCGGAGCTGTATCAGACTTCAAGGCTATCCCCTGGATCACTCAGATACTATGGCCTAGGCCTTCAGAACGGGCTTTATACCGTAAACTTGTTCTTTGCAGAAACAGGTTTCCCAGACCGAAGTACACAGACTTGGGAGAGTCTAGCAAGGCGTGTTTTCGATGTTTATGTTCAGGTAATTTTTCATTTAAAGTAGAACTCCATACCATTCTCAGTAGTAGATCATATGATTCATGCCCTCTATTTCTGATGTTTCTATGGTGACAATTATTTTCACTTAATTTTACATTTAGAAATTTTACTGCTATAATATCTCATCAATGCTTCATCAGGGAAATCGGCAGTTAAGGGATTTTGATATATCAAAGGAGGCAGGTGGGGTTCAGAGAGCAATAACTAAGAATTTCACTGCTAATGTAACGGAGAACCATCTTGAAATTCACCTGTTTTGGGCTGGTAAGGGAACCTGCTGTGCACCAGAACAAGGTTATTATGGTCCATCCATTTCAGCTATTAGTGTTGTTCCAAGTAAGACACTTTAAAACTTATGAATCTTCATGTATTATATGCTTCATGTGCTTATCTTCTGTTAGCTGTTTCTAATAAGTTTGTTTTGTTGCTCAGATTTCAGACCAACTGTCAGTGGGATACCGCCAGGCACTCCTAAAAAGAAAAACCAGACAGCATTGATTGTTGGTATTGCAGTTCCTGTTGCAGTCGTGGCTTTGATACTTATAATTGCAATTATTTATGTTAAGAGAAGAAAAGAAGATTATGATGAGGAAGGTAAGAGCATCAGTATATCATAAAACATATATGTAGTAATAGCAGTCATTCTATGTCAGAAAAAAGATGCATCTCATTGAATTTCTTGATTTAGAACATTGAATCCTCCCATTCAAGATTTTGAGGGAGTTAGTGAAGGAGTTACTTTTCACGTTTTAGCTATGCGGGAGGTAGTGGATACTATGTGTATTGTAAATTCTCTACATTCCCTTGATAGCAATGGGAAATGGTTTAGTTTATTGCAGTTAAAAAACTTATTTTTCAAAGGCCGTGAGAGCACAGGCACATACTTGCCATGGATAGAAGATAACCAAAGCTCACTGACAGAAAGTAGTACCCTGTCATGTGCTGATCAGAAAATTGGAGAGACACTAACCATTCTGCATATCTTGGAAAATTTGCTTGAATAATTCGAATCTTAGCCTTCTTGGTTTTGGAATTTTATAAACATTACGCATCTTGTGCCCCGTAGTGCGGTTAAGGTTCAAGGCAGCTGTTCTCACCTTTGGATCTCTTATATTCAATATCATTCTTTTGGATTAATTTATTTGAAATTACTCCAAGATATTAAAAAGAGAGAGAGAGAGAGAGAGAGAAAAGCCTTCTGTCTTTAAAAATGGGATGCTTCCCATACACAAGCAAATTTCATTAGTCTTTCAAAGTTATACCTAACAATGTTTATTGGTGATAGTAGAGAAGTGTTTTTGCATTTCATCCCTACAACTTGCATCCTACTAATTGCCTTACCTGACTCTGCAGTGTTTCTTGGTATTGGCCCTAGACCAAACACGTTTAGTTATTCTGAGTTGAAAGCTGCCACAGAAGACTTCAGTCCTTCAAGGAAGTTAGGAGAAGGGGGATTTGGACCTGTATACGAGGTAAACTCCGTCTTACACTTTTAGCATGTAGCCATGGTAAAAGCTTGATGTATAATGATGAAAATGACTAATAGATGATGATTTATAACAATGTTACTAAATCTTAGTACGTTTTAGGGAACACTTTCTGATGGGAGAGTTGTAGCTGTGAAGCAACTTTCAGTAGCATCAAACCAAGGGAAGGATCAATTTGCTACTGAGATAGCTACCATATCAGCAGTGCAACATCGTAATCTTGTCAAATTATATGGGTGCTGCATTGAAGGAAATAGGCGCCTGCTTGTTTACGAGTATCTTGAAAACAAAAGTCTTGATCAGGCACTCTTTGGTATGAAGAACATTCTGTAATTATTTAATGCTCCATATCCTTTGGAGCCAACGTCCTCTGCAGTTTCCAAAATTTCTAACCTATAATAATACAACTTTTTGTTTTACAAACAAAAACATAAAAGAATGGGATTTGAATTGTAAGATAATCATGTGCAAGATTTAGTTTCTCTTGTTCAGTCTTTTGACAGGAAAATGCAGTATATGTGCAGTCCAATTGATTCCTTAATTGATTAATGAACAAGTTTATATGACTTCTTGGATTATGCAGGAGACAATGACTTGCGTCTTGATTGGCCAACTCGCTTCAATGTCTGCTTGTCAACTGCAAGAGGGCTAGCTTATCTTCACGAGGAGTCTAGGCCAAGGATTGTCCATAGAGATGTCAAGGCAAGTAATATTTTGCTTGATGCAGAGCTCTGCCCAAAAATATCTGATTTTGGATTGGCAAAGCTTTATGATGACAAGAAAACGCACATCAGCACTCGGGTTGCTGGAACCATGTAAGCCCCTTCAACCTTTTGTTCATGGCTCCCTCCATAATGCGTGGTTAGGTTTAGGTAGTTTCTATAACCATTCACCATGTAATTTAATTATCTTGAAGTGGTTACCTGGCGCCGGAGTATGCAATGCGTGGGCATCTCACTGAGAAGGCTGATGTTTTTGGCTTTGGTGTTGTTGCTTTGGAGATTGTCAGTGGTAGACCAAACTCTGACAATAGCTTAGAAAATGACAGAATTTATCTTCTTGAATGGGTAATGAAAAGGAAAATTTTCCCTTTTGTAGTACTATATGTTCAAGTACCCTTTAAAATTTAAAGGACTTACTCATGATCATATATTTATTTCCACAATGTCTCTAGGCATGGACCCTGCATGAAAATAACCAAAGCTTGGATCTGGTGGATCCAACTTTAGTGGAGTTTGATGAAAATGAAGCTCTTCGAATGATAGGAGTGGCACTTCTATGCACTCAGGCATCACCAGCGATGCGGCCGCCCATGTCCCGTGTTGTGGCTATGCTTGCAGGAGATATTGAAGTGAGCAATGTCACATCAAAACCAAGTTATTTAACTGATTGGGATTTTAAGGATATAACGGGCACCTTCAGGAGTGAAGAAACACAAACATCCAATGCTTCCGATGACAGCGACATCAAGAGTAGTAAGAACAAGACTACTTCAGCGACAGAACCAATGCTCTCTCCATTAAATGTTACTGAATTCACTGACATTATTGGAGATGGAAGGTAGAGTTGTTTGTTCCATGCTGCTAATACACCACGTCACTATGTTACGAACAGAACTTGGTACCTTTCCTCTATGTTGTTTCTTCTGCTGCTTACTTTGCGGTCTTTGAAACTATACTCTCTGCACATATATGGAGTGAATTGTCTTATGCTATACCTTGGCAATATTTTGATTTTCAGACCACAAAGACTTGCTGTTGTTGGATTATTGATGGATAACCATAAATTGTTAGGAGATCGAACTGAAAAATGTAGAACTTGGTTTCAAAGGGGTGTATAAATGGCATTGTTTTTAAAGGTTTATTCATTCCTATTAGGGTTGTCAACAGGTAGACTACTTGTTAATTTTGAAGTACTCAAATCCTAATCTTATAAGAAATAAAGTATTCAAATCTTAGTAACTTCTCGAATATTTTTAAAAATTACTATTCTAACTTTAACACTAATACATCCCCACTATCCTATAATTAACCTAACTCATTTGAATATCCCATTATGTAAAACAATATTAAAATGCTATTCATGGGTATCCAATTGTCCGAACTCGAATCCATAACTGTATCCATATACAATAATGTTTCTTGTACATATTTCATATAATTTACTAATAAGTAAATTAATAAAAACACACAAATATTAAAAGTAAAATTTAAATAACCAAAAACAAATATCTCAAACTTAATTAATAATTTTATAAGTTATAATTTTTGTAATGTTAACACAAAATAGAAAGCAAATATATTTATATATAAAGTGTATATATACGAAAATACTTTTAATATATATAATAATAATTATATTTTTTATGAATGAATCCAATGTATATAAACTATATATATTAAAAGACATTACAAGTAAATTAATAATCATAATTTCATTAATTAATTTAATTAATTATATGAGTGTTTCCTTAATTACATGAAATTAAAAAAAATAACTAGATTTCAAAATTATTCTAATCTCAGAGCTTCCTTTTAGATTTCTATATTAGAAGTTTATATAAACAAAGGTATATATATATTATAATAAATAATTTTATAAGTTATAATTTTGATAATGTTAACATAAAATAGAAAGTAAATATGTTTATATTTAAAGTATATATATATTAAAAGTATTTTAATATATAGTAATTATATTTTTTATAAATGAACTTAATATATATAAAGTATATACATTAAAAGGCATTACAAGTTAATTAATAATTATAGTTTCATGAATTAATTTAATTAATTATATGAGTTTATCCTTAATTTCATGAAATTTAAAAAAAAAAACCAGATTTTAAAACTATTATAATCTCACAGCTTCTTTTTAAGTTTATATAAACAAAGTTATGTATATTATAATTAATAATCTATAAGTTATAAGTTTTGTAATATTAACACAAAAAAGAAAGTAAATATATTTATATTTGAAGTATATATACACTAAAAATATTTTAGTATATATAATAACAATTATATTTCTTATAAATTAACACAATATATAAACTCTATATATTAAAAGACATTACAAGTTAATTAATAATTATAGTTTCTTGAATTAATTTAATTAACTATATGGATTTGTCCTTAATTTCATAAAATTAAAAAAAATAGTTAGGTTCCAAAACTATTTTAATTTCAAAAGCTTTCTTTAAGTACATATATTATAAGTTTATATAAATAATGGTATATATATTATAATTAATAATTTTATAAATTATAATTTTTGTAATATTAACACAAAATAGAAAGTAAATATATTTGTACTAAAAGTATATATATATATATATATAATAGTAATTCTATTTCTTTATAATATGAAATGATATTCATATTATTTAAATATAATTAATAATTTTTTAATTTAAATATATTAGTATCATCAGATTAATAATTAGAGTAACTATACTTTACATATATTTGTTAGTTTTTAACAAAAAGAATTGCTTGTAAAGTTGGTAAAAATTATATATTTTTAATTTAATTATTGAAATAATAAAAAAATATTTATAAATAGTAATCGAGTTCGAGTGTGTACCCAAGGGATGAAATTTGAACTTTACTCAAACTCGATATGGGTAGAGAAATCACTACCTAAACCTGTCTTAAATCCAAGTATAAAGTACCCTAACCCTATATAACCGATACACATTGCCATCCCTATTCCTCACTTGTAATATACAAAAAGGTTACCAGCATATAAATCTCGAACATATAATGAAGCTTAGTGATTGACGACATTTTGTATTGACGAAATTAATCTTTTGAGCATTCATTGGAGTATAACAACATTTTCAAACTTTTATAAAATTTTTATGCAGCAAAGTGATATAAAAGAAAATTTAGAGAATATTTGAGAAATGAAGGAAAGATATTATTGCTTTATGTTGTGCGTTTTGTTAGTAAAAGAAGGTATTTTTTATAAGCTTAGATATCCATTCTCAATAGGTATAGTTTGTGTCTGTTTCAAATAGTTACAATTGTTGGTCTCTTCAAACATACATGATTTTTTTTTCAATAGATGTAACCCTTCCTTTATTTTCTAATTTCCAATGGTCATAGCTTTTCCTTTTACTTTAATATGGAATTGTATTCCATATTTATTTGAAAATATCCAACAATCTCCCATCATTTTCAAATTAATCGAAATTTTTGATAATCCTGAAAATCAATTGCATAAATGAGAGTGTCTTTCTATAGAAACTTCACTTAGTAAAAATATGTTAAAATTAATCGAAATTACATGGTAGATTATGCTTTGAACCAGCTATTCCATTTGGTTAATCGAATACATCTCACACAACGATTTCAACACTAATGAATGCACTGTATCCTGCAATGCTTTTATGATCATGCGTCTGTATCCTCTTTTCATCAATGCTGTTAGAGCTAATATCTTGAAATCCTAGAAACGATCACATTTTACACTCATATAGCTAGATCCTATCAAGAATACCCCTATAACTAAAGCATTCTAACAAATATATGTTATAGGTTTGTCAAAAATTATAATTCATCATTTCCTTACCATTACAGTACCCAGTGCTTTATTTGGGATGAAATATAATATATTTTATGATAGTGCTAGTAGCCACATGCAGATGATATATTTTGTCTCATTGAACTCAGAACTTGACATTATACCAAGTGTTGAGTCAAGTTTCCACCATGAGTGACTTTCAATTTATGAGCTTGAGCCCTATCCTCTTTAAGGTTTGATTTACAAAATCTTTAATAAGACTTTTTGTTAAAGGATCCATCAAGTTTTCACTAAACTTCACAAAAGTTATAATAATCACTCCATCATAAATTAATTTTCGAACATAGTTATATCTTAATCTAATATGTCTAGACTTTCCAGTATACACTTGGCTATATGCTTTTGCTAGAGTTGCTTCACTATCACAATGGATGGAAATTGGAGAAATTAATTTCGGCTACAAAAGCATACCATAAAGTAAATTTCTTAGTCATTCGGCTTCCTTGGAGACAACAGCTAATGTAATAAATTCTGCTGCCATGATAGAATCCGTTATATACATTTATTTCTTAGACCCTCAAAAAATGGCACCCTTAAGCATGATATTTTCATCTTAGAATATTTTAATTTCAAAAATGACATCCGTTACATTTATATTTTTCATTGCAAAGTTATTTGGCAAAAACTTCTTTGTCTCGTCAACTTGTTCCAAATCCACACAAAAAATTAGCATATCATTCACACATAAACAAATTATAACACTTTTACCATTTTGAAATTTACTATATATGCACTTGTTAGATTTATTTATGTTGTAGCCATTCTCTAAAACAATTTCATCAAATTTTTGATCCATCCGCTTGTGGAAGCATGATCTTCTAAACTTGTGATCCAACTAGCATTTGAATATCTCTATGGTACTAATGGATATCTATTATAACAACGTTCATAATTGATTATTTTCTTTAAGTATCTTAGTACTTGATTTATGGCTTGTCAATGCATAATATCTGAATTACTTGTATACTTTCTTAACTTTTCAACAGTAAATGCTATATCTAGCTTTGTACATATTATTGTATGCATTAAGCAACTAATTACTCTTGTATATTGTAATTGATTAATAGCCCTACCAGTATTAGGTATTAATTTAATTTAAGAATTTATAAGTGTAAATATTAGTATATAATTACTAAGATTAAAATTTTTAAGTATTGTTTGAATATAGTGTGGTTGTGATAAAATTATAGTATTTTTATCACGAAATATTTTAATTTCCTTGTCATTTTGCACTGTGATGTTCAACTTTATGCAATCAAAGATCAGCCACCAGAATAGCGGTCTTGGGACACAGTTGCAACTATACAAATTAAATTATGCAGTCACAACTTTATGCATAAAGTTCAATAGCAGTTCAACTTTATGCAGTCAAAAATCAGCCACCAGAGTATCTCCCTCATATCCTTTTCAGTAGTTGTCGAAACATGACTTTTTCAATAGCTGTACTTGAGGTGACCACAGCCTCCGTTTTTGTCTTTATAGATGAATTTATCAATAAAATTCTCTCCTCTAGACTCTACCTTAACAGCTAACAATTCAGTTTTGAAAAAGATCTCAAATGTTTTTGTTAATCTAAGCACCGGATAATTTTCCACTCATTCATAACTAAACTATACAAATTTGTCTTGTGAAATTAATTAACATGCAAAAAATTTTTGTTCTTATTTGTGTTATTTGGGATCGTTACAACCACCTTTATGGTTATTGTTCAAGCTTCCTTCACTCATTGATTTTTATGTTAAAGAGGAGTTTTCAGTGAACTTATAACGACGGTTGTGAGGTTAATAAAATTACTTTCAAAAAAACCATGTAAAATATATTGTTGGTGGGGAACCTTCGTACAAGATTGGCTCCCATCCTTGTAATATATTTTTTTAAAAAAAGAAAACCGATCACGTAAGTTTTGGCAAGTGGAATGGTGGATGGACATAGAAGTGGGTCAAGCCACCCAATTCTGGTGGCTTGACTTTCATTTCATATCATCCACTACCCAACTTGCAGAAACTTTCATATAATAATCACCTTGTAAGCAATATTGCACTGATTGCTGATGACCCAACACTTAAAAATTCTAAGAACAACTGAATTTGGATGATGCACCAAAGGCCAAACTTGTTTCACGCTTATTCACCAACTGAAAGGGCATTGCCCGCTTGCCTGCAGGTCAATGGTGCGGGTCCTCAAATACTAAATGAATCAACTGACACGTAAAACATACTTTTGTATATCGGTATTGAAATTCCGTTGGCGTTTGGGTTTGCCTGGTCCGTTGCAAGTCCCTAATACAACAAAAATTTACTAGTATATATTACCAGTATTCTAACAATAATAAAGAAGTTGATATATATTGTCTATAATTGACCAGGCTCCTTCCTTGGCGTTTCTCTCAGCTACAGTGCAGCGCTAGAGGCTAATTTAAAAGTGGGCACTAAGTGCATGTATATCCCCATTTCTCTATTCGTGAAAGAAAGGAAAAAGATGATTATGAGTACGAAGATGCCATCTTCTTCCAAATGGTTCTTCTTCTTCTTCTTCGTGATTTCCTTTGTTGCTTTCAGCATATCCAACGCCCAGACTCAGAATGCTACAACGGATCCATCTGAAGGTTGGTCTCTTTCTCTCCCTCTCTATCTCTGCATCTTTGCAAAATACCATGTGTGCCTGAACGTCGTCAACTTCATGAATGTAAGTCGAAAAAAGAAATGGAAAGAAAATACAAAGAAATTAAAGAACAGTACCGTTCCAAGATCATCTTTATCCAGGATATAGTTATACTTAGAATTCTAGTGAAACTATCCAAGCTCTTTCGTATACTTGCTGCAACTCTTCAGATAACTGCTATTTCCTCTAGTCTTCGAATTGCGATGGAACTGCATCAATCCAAATCCCCAACAAAACTTTCTCTCTCTACAACCAGTCCTATCATTTGTTGGGCTAATTCTGCTGGGTCAAATTATCCAGAAAAAGAAAATAAAAAAGTTGGTTTATGCTTGGTTATCGGGCTGCTATAGTGGCTACTGTTTTACGATTCATGCTCTTAACTCTTAATTAATTAGAAGATTGTACCGCTTTTGGTTGTTTAATTATTTAAAGATGGAAAGTGTTACTTCCTTTTGCATATAATTGGCTAACTGTATACTTATCCTTTTTCTTAAAAGAGATAAGTATGAACGGATAAATATCTAAGTTAATTATTTAATTTAAAATTTTTGATGTCTACATCATTACAAATAAATTTGTTAAATTAACTTGTTAATTAATATTTCTTGATGAACCAACATGTGCTTTGGTTTCATAAAATATCCGAATGAGATACAATACTCGATTTTTTTAATAAAATACATTGATGATTTTTTTTGAAGACAATTCTATATGATTCGTAATAATATTTTAAAAAAATTCTTAAATTATTTTAAAAAATTTAATAAATAAGATTTTTTTAACAGTTGATTAATTACTAGCAATTAAAATGTCACTTATTATTTTTATAATCACATGATGTTGATGTGATGTTGAGATAAAAAATAAAATTTATCATGAAATTATATTATTATATCATATTATCATTCATTATAACATATCAGTATGTCACGTTTTGATTAATAATAATAAATCAACTGAATTAATTATTGGAGACTATTTGATATAAAATAAAAATATAAAGATATGATTAAATGTAATAAAAAAATTTTAAAATTTTTTTGAATAAGCTTGATTTTAAATGTAATATATACTAGACAAATGAAATTATGATAATAGTTACTCTATATAATCTTAGACAAAAGGCAAAGTAGTTCATTTTGAATTGGTTTTATTGCTTCCACATGTTCAAATAGTCATACATTCACATGTACACGATCATATTAATGTGATAGTTAAGAGACATAGAGTTCTTTGTTCAACTTGTTAGTTAGCCATAATTGACTGTTTTGGGTAGACATGTATATATTTTTTCTGACATGTAGTGTATTTTTTTCTTCAATATTATGAATGGAAAATTAACAGTAAGGGCGTTGAACTCAATATTCCAACAATGGGAAACACTAGCTCCGGAGACTTGGAACATCAGCGGAGAGCCATGCAGTGGACTTGCTCTTAGTGACAGTGATTCTGTGTTTGAGGATTCTTCTAATAACCCAGCTATCAGATGTGATTGTTCTTTTGAAAATGGCACCACCTGCCACATAACTAGACTGTATATATATGCTCTCCCTCACTCTCCTTTTAACACTTTATTATAACAATTCAATAAGGCCAAGGTCGAAACTGGTCCGCTTTTGATTTTTTTTTTTTTTTGTGTTATGGTTTTTATGTTTCAAGCTTGTTTGAATATTTAGAGCAACCCTTCCAAACTCTCCCAATTGCACTGGACCCGTAACCCCTTCTCGCTGCAATAACCCCTTTAAACATTGCTAAACCCATAACCTCTACGTGATAGGGAAAAATTTTCATCGTGCTACTCTGCACCTGAATTTTAATAAATAGCGAAAGCTTCATGATTATTTTTGGCATGACAGGTCAAGTTAACATTTCTGGGACTGATCCTATTTTAGCACAAAGCATTTGGACCATGCAATTGGATACCTTATATAAACAATCATAATCCTAGAATTCTTGGATATTCCTCATTGTAATGTTGAGCTGAGTTCTTTCTTTTTTTTATCCTTCGTATATATTACCTCTGCTGTGATTTGAAATCATGTCTAAACAATTATTTTCAGGAGGGTATTTGCTCTAGAAAAGCGAGGACAGATACCAGAGGAGCTTTTAGCTTTGAGATTTCTAACCTTCTTGTATGAATACTCTCTCTCTTCTCCTCATGTAATTCATTTTTATAAACCAATTAAAACTACTAACTTTTAAGATTTTGCAAATAGCAAATGATATACAAGTTTTATTTTTACATATTAATATCTATGGATATACGTCTTTTAGACATGGAAACTGTTTAGATTAGACATACTAATTACAATTGGAGTTTTAAAGACACTAATTATGACCATTCATTGTTTGGTGACGCAGGAAGATTGATCAAAACTTCTTCACTGGTCCCTTGCCAGCTTTTATTGGAAATATGTCTAGACTAGCGTTTCTGTGAGTACTGAAACATTGTGCCATAAATGCAGTATATTCATTATCAGTTGATATTATTTCCCACAAATTTTCAGTGTCTAGCAAGCTTTGTATAGGTTTTCAAGGCCTTACAATGCGTTTCCAGCAGCTGTAGTTAAGAATTAGCAACACAATGAAAAGAGGGAAAACAGGGTGCTCCTTATTTTATGCATGGTCCTCTTAAATGCTTAATTTGAGTCGCCTAATTTCTTTGCTATCTCCTTTACATATAATTGGCTTATAATCTAGTAGTAAAGTTTTTAAGTATTTAATCGAATTATTGTCCAAAGAAAGGCGGCTTTTATAATGAAGGAAAGGCAATAACAAGCTTGTCTTAGTAAAACTTGGAGTAAAATGTTTCCTAGCATGAATGAAATCATTTTTTTTTTCTGCATATGGTACAATCTCATCCTCTTTTTTACTCTTTTTACATTGATGTACATACATTCATTTTTACTGTATGAGAATGGTAATTGTATTTATTTGAATAAGAAAATTCGATTGATTTAAGTTACTATTATTGGTAATTTCTTACTTAATAAGAGATGCTGATTCTTTGTATGACACTTAAAAATAAATTGACAGGTCAGTTGCTCAGAATTCATTCTCTGGACCCATTCCTAAGGAGATTGGAAATCTTAAGGATCTCTATTTGCTGTAAGACTTGAAGAAATTCTCTAAAATGAAACATGAATCATCTTGTTCATATAGCATACTTCCATCATATAAATAAAAATGTAATTCTCTCTGCTATAATATATATATATATATATATGCATGCCCATGTAATCAAGGTTAAGATTTAGTTAATGATTTCTTAATTAAATGTTGCTTAATTCATTTATTCTGGCTGCTGTTTGGAAGGAAGCTGCTGCCCGTAATTTGCTAGCTATGTACTGGACTAGTTGCTGTAGTGATGTGTTGCTCTGATATCATGGAAAAAAAAAAAAGTGATATCAGCTCTTTTCTACAAAATTTAAAGAAATAAGTGATATGTTTCTTCTTTTATGGACAACTGTATTTTTTTTATCAGAAGATAATTCCGTTGGACAACTGTAGATTTCCTGCTTTATTAACTCTCAAACATATATTTTCACTTGAAGATTAACAATATTTGAGGTATAGTTAAAAAAAGAAGCACCATAAAAGAGAAAAGTAGGTATTGGTCATTCAAAATATTAATTTCTTTAAGATACTTGATTTTTAAAGACTTGACTTTCCTATGAGGCTCTAGATCCTAAGAGTAGCAAAATCTAATAAAGTGATTTCTTGTTCTTTCTTTTCTATGTTAAAATTGCATTATTTAAAAATGTATGCATTCCAATACACCTATATCTACCTATGCATGTATACCGACTACACATATAGAACCCCATATTTTGCTGATTTATTCACAAAAAACTAAGATGGTGTGTGTCATGCAGGTCTCTTGGTACTAATAATTTATCGGGAACGATCCCTCCAGAGCTGGGTAATCTAGCTAAACTTCAGCAAATGTGAGTTATAACTTTGTCTCTAGTTTGTTTTAGGCTTGGAAGGATTGCATTAATATTTTTATGATCATCGGACATTAAGACAAGAGTGGTTTATGACTGTGACAGTTACATTAACAGTTGTGGATTGACTGGTGAAATCCCCTCAACATTTGCTAACCTTCGAAATTTGCAAATTGTGTAAGAAAGACCAAGAATCATGATTCTTTTGTATACTTATTGCTTTTTGTTTCATCTGCTCTTGAAAATTTCCTTAGCTTACCTTGGCTTGGTAATAGTCAGCTTGTTGAATTTCAGGGGAGCATCAGATAACGCTTTCACAGGCAAAATACCTGACTTCATTGGCCATAACTGGACAACGCTTCAATCATTGTAAGTTATCAAAACAATTTTCTTTGTAATATTCAAAAAAAAAAAAACAAATAAGAAAAATAGCCCTATTCTGCTACTTTCTTGAATTGTCTGTCACATGAAACTACAGGAGACTTGAAGGGAACTCTTTCGAAGGTCCTATACCATCCAATATTGGAAACTTAACCTCACTGACGATTCTGTGAGTAGATTTTTGTTTCTCAAGTTACTCCCACCACCCTCCAAGCCCCCAACCCTCAGGCTGTCTTTCTCTACATAGTCACTGTTGAAGACATGTAATATCTGATATGAATGTGTTTGAATCATGTAGGCGAATTTCTGGAATATACAACGGGAGCTCTTCTCTTGATTTTGTTAGAAATTTAAAGAACATAGCTGACTTGTGAGTTAAACATACTCTATAACATCTTCTTGTGTCATCTGTGACTGACTAACAAACATTTTTTTTTTCTTTTTTCCTGTAGAGTTCTAAGAAATGTTTTACTAACTGGTAGTATTCCCACTGACATCGCTGAATTCCAGTCTTTACAAAAGCTGTAAGTTTTATTCACAAATTAACTGCCAGCACTGTAACTTAATTACAAGTTTTCTCTGCTTTACTAATTTTTATCAATTTCGTTTTTCGTCCAGGGATTTGAGTTTCAACAACTTAACAGGTCAAATTCCAAGCGAATTGTTCAATATGAATTCTCTTACATACATGTAATTTCGCCCCTTCAACACTTGAAAATCTCATCTATGTCAGGCTTATCTATAATATGTGTTTCTGGCTCTGTGCTTGTCACTTGACTGACATTCTTTCTTTTGTTTCTTATTTTCATGCCGTTGAAATGGCCAGGTTTCTTGGAAATAATAGTCTGTCGGGTACCCTTCCTAGTCAAAAGAGCCAAAGTCTAAAGAATATGTAAGTCATCATATCACACTACCGTATTATTGAATCAGTTGCCAGCAATTATTATGATGAGTGCTGTTTTCACTCATTGCATCATTTTGAATCCCAATTAATGTCATTTCTGTCCATGAGGAGGGTTTTTAAGTTTTATGAGAGGGGGATGATGAGTGATGAGTGATGAGTGATGAGTGATGAGTGATGCTGCTTGTAGACAGCACCGTTTGATGAACATCAACAACTGTAATGCCATTAGTCAGAGTCTAGTGAACAGAGGCAGTTGAAAATTATATCCAGGTTATGCGTTCCTACTCACCTTTATCTAACGTAATTCTCTGATGCAGAGATGTATCTTACAATCATCTATCAGGAACTTTGCCCTCATGGGTATACTCAAGCTTACAACTGTATGTCTCTTAAACCATGACTCTTCATTATCTTTGTTTTCCAATTTTGATACTTTGCTTTGAGGATGAGGCTTTCTGGTGCTCAAATGGAGCATATTTTTTCATAATCATCATTAATATAGATGTAATATGCCTAAAAACAATGTGACAGCCGGTCCCATATTTGAAACACACATGTGGGATGAGGAAATTCATCAAATATTTACAGACACGGATTAAGAGAATAATTGATCGTTTTATGGCATTCTATGTAGGAATGTGGTGGCCAACAACTTTACACTCAACAGCTCAGACATGAGGTGAGTTATTGCCCCTACCACTCAGTTTTTATCTTCCCCTTTCCAACTTTTCCCTATGAGTAAATGGCTGCTGCCGTTGCAGCTATGCGATGCATTATTTTCCAAATGTCAAATCCTGATGAACAATAATATTTTCAAATTCCACAGACTTTTACCAGGATTGCAATGCCTTCAAAGAGGTTTCCCATGCAACAGAAATGCTCCACGATGTAAGCTTCGCTAAAACTTCGGTATCAGTCTATATTGTTGAGATTTTAATTAAATGTAGAATCCTGGGGAGATAATGACAATAGCTTAGTTATTTGCTAATCATATCTCAATGTTGGCATGGCAGATGCAAACTTTGCAATCAAGTGTGGCGGTCCACAGATGATTGCAGATGGGATACTGTTTGAGGCTGAAAATAATACTCTGGGCGCAGCAACGTTCAATGTGACCAGTACACAGAAATGGGCAGTTAGCAACGTAGGTTTATACGAAGACAGGGAGAATCCGCTGTATGTGCAAAACACTTTTGCACAAGTGAAAAGCACCAACACACCTGAGATTTATCAGACTTCAAGGATATCCCCTCTATCACTCAGATACTATGGCCTAGGCCTTGAGAATGGGCCCTATACTGTGAATTTGTTCTTCGCGGAAACAGCTTACCCAGACAGAGGCACTCAGTCTACGAAGAGTCTAGGAAGGCGTGTTTTTGATATTTATATTCAGGTATTTCTCTCAAGTATAGATCATAAACTTCATTCCCTCTATTTGCAGTGTTTATATGAATGCAATATGTTCATTTAATTTTACATTGAGGAATTTTAATGCTATATCTCACCACTGCTTCCCTAGGGATCCCTAAAAGTGAAGGATTTCGATATTTCAAAGGAAGCAGGTGGAGCCGAGAGAGCAATTGCTAGGAATTTCACTGCTAATGTGACAGAGAACCATCTTGAAATTCATCTGTTTTGGGCTGGCAAGGGGACCTGCTGTGTACCAGAACTAGGTTACTATGGTCCATCCATTTCAGCAATTAGTGTTGTCCCAGGTAAGAATCTTTATTTAAGATTCTTCAAATGTGCTTATCTTTTTTCTGCTGCTTCTGATAATTCTATTTTTTTGCTCAGATTTTATACCAACTGTTAGTGGGTTACCACCGGGCACTTCTAAAAGGAAAAACCGGACAGCATTGTTTGTTGGTATCGTAGTTCCTGTTGGAGTTGCGGCGTTGATACTGATATGTGTAATTATTCACTTTAATAGAAGAAAAGAATATGATGATGAGGAAGGTAAGAGCATCCGTACATCAAAAAGCACAAAGTAATTCTATATCAACAGAAGATGCGAGTTCATTTAAAACAATGAGTCATGTCAGTAGCCCACTTTTGTCCCTGCAGCTTCTGTAAAGGTCCTATGCATCTGTTAGCACGTTGAATATCAATTTTTAAAAGGGCACAATCTGGTCTTCTAAAAGGCCTTAGCGGTTAAAATTTGGGATGCTTCTCCAATGTGGCACTATTTACAAGTCTTTCAATATTAAATATTAATCTTCTAAAGTTTTTTGTGTTTCATCACTACAACTTACAGCCTACTCCTTGCCTCACTTGACTTTTCAGTTGCTGTCTCGCAATTGGTCCTAGACCAAACACATTTAGCTATGCTGAGTTGAAAGCCGCCACAGAAGACTCAGTCCTTCAACAAATTAAAGGAAAGGGGATTTGGAGCAGTATACAAGGTAAGCTATGTTTTACATTTAGCATGTTATCATGATGCTGGCCTGACATGTAATGAAAAAATTTGAGAGGATGACTTATATTTCAACCTTACTAAGTTAAGGTACCTCGTAGGGTACACTTTCTGATGGGAGGGTAGTAGCTGTGAAGAACTTTCAGTAGCATCTCACAAGGAAAAGTCAATTTATTGCTGAGGTAGCTACCATATCAGCAGTGCAACATCGCAATCTTGTCAAACTATATGGATGCTGCATCGAAGGGAAAAGGCATCTCCTTGTTTATGAGTATCTTGAGAACAAAAGCCTTGACCAGGCACTCTTTGGTATGATGAACACTGTATAATTCTCTCATGCTTCCTCTGTTTTGACTTTGGAACCGTAGATAATAGGTTCTCTTCACTTACATAATTGTTAGCTAATGGATCTAACTTATTATTTTACTACTGGCTGTTGCTGAAACAGATGAAAACATAAAAGAATGGATTTTAATCTTATGATTAACAAGTGCAAGATTTGTATATTTTCCCTTGTTCAGTCTTTTGCAGGAAAATTCGATTATGCGCATGCCAATTTATTCCGTTGTTGATTGCTCATTAGTGAACTACTTAATAGGATTTCTGGCACTGTAAATGCAGGACGCAGTGACTTGCATTCTTGATTGGGCAACCCGCTTCAATATCTGCTTAGCAACTGCAAGAGGGTTAGCTTATCTTCATGAGGGGTCTAGGCCCAGATCGTACACAGAGATGTTAAGGCAAGTAATATTTTGCTTGACGCAGAACTGTGCCCAAAAATATCTGATTTTGGATTGGCAAAGCTATATGATGACAAGAAAACGCACATCAGCACACGGGTTGCAGGAACCATGTAAGCCTCGTAAGCCTTTAGTTCGAATGTCCTTCCTTCATGGCCTTTTTAGTTATTTGTTTATCATTATAATGTTCTTTTTATAAACTGACCACACTTACACTAAGCCAGTGTAAAATGGTTAAAGTTTTGCGATAAAAACGACAAATGACTATTAAGCACATATAGAAGTTAGCTTCGAAACTATTACCGACCACCCTCCCCCTTTTCCTTTCCTTGTCTTTCGTAATTATTATGCAATTGTTAGGCTAATGGTACTACTGTCACTAATGCCTCATGTACTAAATTTCAAAGGCTTGAAGGCTTAGCATAGACCTTACTTCTATCTAAATTATTTGACTCCAAGGTTTCAGTAACCGAGTAACTAGATATAGGAATTTTCTGGATAAACATTCACCATGTGATTTAATTATCTTGAAGTGGCTACCTGGCGCCAGAGTATGCAATGCGAGGGCATCTCACTGAGAAAGCTGATGTTTTTGGCTTTGGAATTGTTGCTTTGGAGATTCTCAGTGGTAGACCAAACTCTGATAACAGCTTGGAGGATGGCAAGATCTATCTCCTCCAATGGGTAAGTATTAAGAAATCTTTTTTCATAAATAGCAGTTTTGAGTGCCTTCAAAGGACTTTAAAATTCATGATGCATGAGATTTATTTCTACGATGTTTCTAGGCATGGGCTTTACATGAAATTAACCAAAGCTTGGATCTGGTTGATCCAAATTTGGTGGAGTTGGATGAAAATGAAGCTCTCCGAGTGATGGGAGTGGCACTTCTGTGCACCCAGGGATCACCAACGATGCGGCCGTCAATGTCCCGTGTCGTTGCTATGCTTGCAGGAGATATTGAAGTGAGCGGTATTATAACAAGGCCAAGTTATCTAACTGACTGGGATTTTAAGGATTTAACAGGCAGCTTTATGACAGAAGATACACAAAACTCCATTGCATCTGAATACTGACAACAATAGTAATATCAACATTAACCCAGGGGCAGCACCAAATCTTTCTACGGTAAATGTCACCGAATTTAGTGACATTATCGAAGGAAGGTGACAAGTGTTGGACATTATCAACGATATCAAGGGAAGAATGAGAAGAAGAAAATCATTTTATAGATTTGCACATTTAAAAAGTCATGTCTGTACAAAAAGATATATTTTTTATCTATAAATAAGATTTGATCTCTAAAAAATGAACAAACAGAAAAATTTGTAATCACTCTTTCTATTTTTTTTTCAAATTTTTCTCGTATTGTTTCTATATTGTTTTATTGTATGAAAATTTTTTTAAAAGTTTAATAATCTTATTATATGTCAATGAGTGCTTAATGTATTGATTTAGTTAAGATAAAATGTAATCAATTACTAAATTTCAAAAAATACACAAATATTTATTGCATCTGAGAATACTAACAATAGTAATATCAACATTAACCTAGGGGCTGCACCAATTCCTTCTTCAGTAATGCCACTGAATTCAGTGACATTGTTGAAGGAAGATGAAAGGTGTATATGTCACGATCCAAACCCAGGAACTGTGAACAATGCATGAGCCATGCAGGCAAAGCCGACAATTCCTAAGCAAGCCTCACAAAGATCGGGCAGTCAAGTGGACATTACCAATATTTCATGAAGCCTAAACGGCACATTTCATAACATAAGTCCAAATATGTCCATAACATACTACCCATAACATTTCAACCAACAAAAGTACAACCATGTACTATTTACAAAAGCCATACATTAGCTATCATGGTGAGTCTAAGCCAGTACAAAATGAACCAAGGTTTATACATATTAAAGAATATACAATGCCATTAAATAAAACTACCAACATTTGTACAAAATCCAATGGAGTGGACTTGTAGACAAGGTTCCTACCCGGTGCCGAAATTGTCGATTTATCCAATCAACGCTATCACTCGTTCTCACATGGAAACCCACAATCTATTTGTCTGCACATAGCAGCAAACAATGGGATGAGTCTCCAATGACTCAGTGAGCGGGTAGAGAATAAACAAGTACAACAAAGATATATTCTTCAAACACAATGATATGAGAAATAACAATTTAAATGTACTAAAGCATGATATTTAATCAAAACTCCTCAGAGTATGTAAGTAAACGTTTAACCAACTTACCTTCCGCTAAGCATAATTCAAGATTTGTTATATACTTACCACGTCGATCAAGACTCATCAAAGCACGCAAGGACGTGAGATTCTTACTCATAGTCTCTAAACATCAAAGAATTGTATCCGAATATTTTGTTTATTAGCTGATACATTATCCTCTACCTCAAAAGTAAAGTTCAAACCCCTCATTCCCTAATTAAAAAAAAAAACAAAACAAGCCCAAGGCTGAGGTCTCTATGGTAAACAAGACTAAAAGGGCTGCAACACTTTCTTACTAATCTGTACCATTGTCCTGAACACTTTCATTCGATGGAGTTAAGTCAAGAAGTCCTCCCGAATAAAGAAGACACGTCTAGGGCTGAGGCTGCTGATGGTAAACAAGACCATGGGGGCTATGACACCTTCTGACTAGACCGTATCATCGTCCTACAAGTATTCATCAGATGTAACCATGCCAACATCAGTTAATTGTTGTCATTTTATGTGCAAGGATCATTCCCATGGCCATTAAACATCATTTGTACATAATCGAGAATGTAGCATAATCAACCTTCACATTTCATATTCACCATAGTTCACTAATGACCTTGTCACGTAGAAGTTGTAATTGTGCTAAGGGCACCAAGTTAACATTTGTGCAAGCACATAGGCAAGGGCACCAAGTTAACAAAGTCGTTTTGCTGCTTATAGTCGTTAGGCATGTGTGGCTGTCTTGGGAATCTAAGCACAGATCCCTAGCATCATGAATTTTTAAGTCCTTTGAAGCCAAGTGTCTTGGGAAATTTTGTTTCATTTGTAGTACTCATTGTTTTAATGCCTTCAAAGGGTGTTTCATTTGAAGCCCGTGTCACCCTCTGTGGCTTCTTGGTGTTGAGGGCTTTGTGGTGGCTGAGCTGAAATTGGGGAATTTGTGCCCAAAATCTGGTTTGCTGGAGTCATGGATTTCCCCCGTTTGGACCAAGATCGGGTTTTCGGGGTGGGCTGCCTGATGGTCAAAACAATCTAACTCCTCAATCTTTTTGTGTCAACCCAACATCTGATGGGTTGTAAAGCGACCCACCTTGTGGTGGCCTATCACCGATGAGGGCCGGTTGTATTGCCCATCTTGAAATGGGTTAGAGGGGAATCGATCAGCATGGGGCTGGCTGTCTTGCGGTGAGCTAGCTTCAGCCTAACTGTCCTGGATTGTGCCAGATGGGCATGTGTTAAGTGCAACTGCGTGGGACGGGCTGGCCATACTCCGCAGTTCATCTGGCACTGAGTCAGATTCTTATGGCTCAAATTGTGATCTTTTACCTAGGTCCACAAATAACTGACTGGGATTTTAAGGATGTATAAAGCACCTTCGTGAGTGAAGAAACACAAACATCCATTGCATCCGATCATAGCGACATCAAAAGTACTAAGAACAAGAATATTCCAGGGAAAGGACCAATGCTCTCTCTCTCTAGTAAATGTTACTGAATTCACTTACATTATCGGAGAAAGAAGGTAGAGTTGTTTGTTCCATGCTGATAATGCCATGTCACTATGTTATAAACAGAACTAGGTATCTTTCCTATAAGTTGTTTCTCCTACTGCTTACTTTGTGGTCCTAGAAACTATACTTTCTGCGCATGTATAGAGTGAGTTGTCTTGTAACAAACGTTGGCAATATTTTGTGTTTCAGAGCATAAAGTCTTGTGGTCGTTGGATCATTGATGTATAATCATAAATATAGTTTTCAAAGTATAAAATATCTCCTTATCCCTCTACATTGTAATGTTCAACATTGTGCAGTCTACAGCGGTAAAATTCAAAAGTCTTCCTCAAATTATTTTAAAATGACACTTTGACCTTCTTGTTTTAAAAAATTGTTTTTGTTCTTTTAACTGTTAATGATGTTAGTACAATTAAAAAAAATAAAATTCAACACTACGTCATATACCTTTTTTAAAAAATATATATCTGTTCATCTTTCTCTTAAAAATTTTGATAAAGAAAAAAGTAAAAGAATTTGAATTTGAGAGGTAAAAAGAAATACAAAAAAATTTCACCAGACGCAAAGCAAGGAGGAGCTTTTATAGAAGTAACCCACGAAGGGAAAAACAAGAAATTAAAATCTTTTATTTGTTGTTGTTGATGATGGTTGATATTTCTTGGAAACTGTCCTTGAAGAGGAGAATATTCACTAACATTGACCCCTGCATCTGCCAAGGTCTTTCTTTTCTTTTCTACTTTTATGTTTTCTCTTTTTTTTATTTGGATTAACCACCCAAATCTGGTGGCTTCACTTTCATTTGAGATCATCCACCTAACTTGCAGAAGCTTTCACATAAAAACCACCTTGAAAGCAATATAACACGGATTGTCGATGACCCAACATTTAAAAATTCTACGAACCAATGGAATTTGGATTGTTAAAATAATTATATAATTATTTTAACATGGATGATGCACCAACTTGGTTCACGATTATTCCCCGTCCGAAAAGGCCAGCAGGTAAATTGTGCGGGTTCCCAAATACTAAATGAATCAATTGGCATAAATAAAACATATATTCCCTTGCGCTTTTGTCTTGTCTCTTGCAAGTCTCTACAGGCCTTACCAACCAACACAGCAAAAATTAACTACTATATAGTACCGGTTGACATTGTCTATAATTGACCAGGCTCCTTCCTAGTCGTTGCTCTGAGCTAAGGTGCAACGGAAGATGCTACTTTAAATGTGGGCACTAAGTGCATATATTCCCATTTCTCTATTCTTGAACGAAAGGGAAAAAATGATTATGAGTACGAAGACGACGCCATCTTCTTCCAAATGCTTCTTCTTCTCCTTCTTCCTCGTGATTTTCTTTCTTGCTTTCAGCGTATCCAACGCCCAGATTCAGAATGCCACCACGGATCCATCTGAAGGTAGTCTCTTTCTCTCCCTCGATATGTCTGCATCTTTGCAATATCCTAGGCGTGCCTGAACATCTTCAACTTCATGCATGTAAGTCGAAAAAATTCATGCACGTAAGTAGAAAAAAAAATTGGAAAGAAAACACAAAGAAATAAAAGAGCTTAACAAAAAAAAAAAAGGAGAGAGAAATAAAAAAACAGTACCATACCAAAATTATTTTTAAATTTAATCTCCACCAGAAAGTGAACTCATTTGGCTTCTGATTTGAAATCGAAATCTGGTTTAGATCTTTAATCTTTTGTGTTTAAATATAGTTTTTTTTTTGAAGTGTTGTGTTTAAATATAGTTGATCAGCTCTGCTGCTTCATTTCATTTCCGTTACGTGGTTTGTCATTGAGGTACTAATTGTTTTTACTGGATATGGTAAGAGTTGAAACTTGGAGACATCAAGTGATATTTCTCTTGGAATGATTGAAATCATTACTTGAATTTTTAATTTACAATATTTTTATAATGTATTATAAATGTGTTAATCATTTATTAATTGTGTTAATCGTATTTTAATTGTATTATTCATGTTAATCATATAAATATATTATAAATTATATAAATTTTAATTGTGTTGTATGAAAATTAATCATATATATTTAATAAACATGTTAATTGTGTTATACCGTATTACATGATTATTAAAGTATCTATATATATATATTTAAAATCTTGATAGGATTCATTAATTGTGTCGTATTCATATTTATCTAAATAATCATTAATATTTTATATTTACATAATACAATTAAGACATGAATACATGAATTGTCAAATATAACTAACCTTTTCAAACAAAAGCAAAACAAAAGCTTCTGTCCATCCTCCAGCACCCCTTGCGGAGCATCCTGCTCACTCCCCTGCACAAAAACAACATATTTTTCCCTTTACAAGAGTAAACCCTGGACAATCGTAATCAGAATCACACCAATACAAAATTCTCAACAAACATGCCATACAGTCATCCCAATCCCAACCAAAAACCCAGCTAACATGCTGTACAAAAACTAAGCAGCCCTTCACCAATCAACACAGAGGGATGAAACAGAACCAACACGGGGAAACTAATCAGTCAATGTCTAACACAAAAATAAACCACCACCCGAAGCCGCACCTTCTCCATGAGAGCCTTCCATCCAGCTCAAACCAAAACATAGGCATCCGGAGTGGGCAGCTCTATCGCGGCACACGAGGTATGAAACAGAATCATCAAAAGCATATATCAACGAATGGCGAACACAAAAAATGACATCACAGAGCCTTTGTTAGTATTAATCAGTATTATTTCTTTAAAACTATCAAGATTGCACCCATGAGAAATTTTTTTTGGTTATTTGGTGGTTAATAGATGGAAACTGTTACCTCCTTTTGCATATAATTGGTTAATGTATAATTATCTTTTTCCTTTAAAGATAAATATGAACGGATAAGTATCTAAATTTATTATTTAAAATTAATATAATGTTTTAAAATCATTAAATTATTTAAAAATGTTAAATAAATATGTATTTTTTTATTATATTTAATTAAGATCTTGTACTTTTATTTTAAATTAAATAGACTCTTATAATTATCATTAGTCATTCACTTATTATTTTAAATTCATGCAACGTTAATGTGGCCCTAATATGAAATGTGAAAAATATTATATAATCACGTCAACGGCAAGTGATATAAAAATGATGAGTGATATTATTTATTAATAACAATTAGTCAACTATTAATTATAAAAACTTATTTAGTTAAAAATAAAAATAAAAGATTTAATTGAGTAATTAATAAATAAAAACTTATTTAAAATTTTCAAAATAATTCAAAAATTTTATTAGATATTATCCCTTTAAGCTTATGGTGTCTAAGTCATTACACAATTAATTTGTTAACCTAACATGTTAACAAATAATTCTTGATGAAACAACTTGTACTTTGGTTTCCATAAAATATCTGAATTAGTTAGAACATTTAATTTTTTTTTAATAAAAAACATTGATACATTTTTTTTTTAATAAAACTCCGAATATGATTAGATATTTTATTTTGAGTTTCATCAAATTAACAGTAGTTATTATATTAATAATTAGAAATTAATATAAAACCATCATAATTATAATTTCTAAGTTTAAACATTATACCTAAAAGAGTTGTGCTTTTAATCCTATCGTTGTTGTCATTACCTTATCAGCAAAGCAAAATATATATATATAATTATGCTTTAAATTTTATCTTTGTTATTTTTTAGGCAATTTTTATAACAATAACCTAACGAACTAAATTCAAACCTAAAACTTTACATTTTTGACAGTCTTTTGCACCCAAAAGCTCGTTGCAATTGATGTAATAGTTAAGAGACATAAAATTCTTTGTTGACTTCTTAGTTAACCATAATTGACTATTTTTATAGACATGTAAATACTTTAGCTGACATGTATATTTTTTTCCTTCAATATTAATGAATGGGAAATTAACAGTGAGGGCGTTGAACTCAATATTCCAACAATGGGAAACACAGGCACCAGACACTTGGAACATCAGCGGAGAGCCATGCAGCGGACGTGCTCTTAGTGACAGTGATTCTGTGTTCGAGGACTCTTCTAATAACCCGGCTATTAGATGTGACTGTTCTTTTGAAAATGGCACTATCTGTCACATAACTAGACTGTATGTTTATGCTCTCTCTTGCTCTCCTTTTAGAGTTACCCTAGTAATATTTTAACCCATTATTACAACAGTGCAATAAGGCTAAGGCCACACTGAAACTTTTTGAAATTATGGTTTTCATGTTTGAACTTCGTTTGAATGTGTAGGGCAACTCTTCCAATAGCACTGAAGCAGTAGCCCCTTCTCACTGCAGTAACCCTTTTAAATGGCATTGAACCCTAACCTTTACGTGGTCGGGAGAAATGCTTATGACACTATTCTGCACGTGAATTTTAATAAACAGTGAAATTTTAATGATTATTTTTAACATGACATGTCAAATTGACATTCATATTTACCCTCGACATTGTTGTCCTTAGACTGATCTTATTTTAACCCAAAGCATTTGGACCATGCAATTGGATTCCTTATTTATACAATCATAATCATAGAATTTTTGGATATTCCTCATTGTAATGTTGAGCTGTGTTCTTACTTTTTCATTTTTGTTTACCTCTATAGTTGTGATTTTAAATTATGTCGATGCTATTACTTTCAGGAGGGTATTTTCTCTAGAAAAGCGAGGAAAGATACCAGAGGAGCTTTTAGCTTTGAGATTTCTGACCTTCTTGTATGAATACTCTCTCTCTTCTCCTCATGTAAATCATTTTTATAAGACAATAAAAAACACTAACTTCTAAGATTTTACGAATGACAAATGGTATACAAATTTTATTTTTACATATTAATATACATGGATATATGTCTTTTAGTCATGGAAACTGGTTAGATTAAACATACTAATTACAAATGGAGTTTTAGAGAAACTAATTATAACCATTCATTGTTTGGTGATGTAGGAAGATTGATCAAAACTTCTTCACTGGTCCCTTGCCAGCATTTATTGGAAATATGTCCAGACTAGCGTTGCTGTGAGTACTGAAACATTATGCCATAAATGCATTATTTTCATTACCAGTTGATGTTATTTCCCACAAATTTTCCAAGTCTAGCAAACTTTGTGTAGGTTTTCAGGCCTTCAATGGGTTTCCAGCAGCAGTAGTTAAGAATTAATTAACAACACAATGGAAAGAAGGAAAATAGAGTGCTCCTTATTTTATGCATAATTCCACTTCAATTTGTGTGGCCTGATGTCTTTGCTATCTCCTATACATGTAATTGGCTTATAGTCTAGTGGTAAAGTTTTTAAATATTTAATCTAATTACTGTCAAAAGAAAGGTGGCTTAATTTTATCCTGAAAGTTAGGCAATAATATAGTTGTGTTAGTATAAAAGAAAGGTGGCCTTTATACTGTTAAAAAGTTTCCTAGTATGAATGAAGTCATTTTTTGACATATGGTACAAACTCATCTTTTTTTTCCCTTTTACATTTATGTATATTCATTTTTACTTTATGAGAATGGCAATTGTATGTGCTCATTTGAATAGTAAAATGCGTCTGATTTAAATTATTATTATTGGTATTTTCTTATTTAGTAAGAGGTGTTGATTCTTTAAATGACACTTAAAATAAATTGACAGGTCAGTTGCTCAGAATTCATTATCTGGACCCATTCCAAAGGAGATTGGAAATCTTAAAGAACTCTATATGCTGTAAGACTTGAAGAAATTCTCTACAATGAATTATAAATCATCTTGTTCATAAAACATACTTCTTCGTACAAACAAATATATGATTTTTTTTATGCTATAATACATGATATTATATATTTATATATATTCCCTTGAATTAAGCTTAAATTTTAGAGTTTTCGGTTTTTTATAAGAAGAGATTATTTTAGGTTTTAGAATATAAGTAGACTCCTTTTTCAAATACGTGCGTGTGTATGTAAGATGGTCACAAGGTGAAAATTTAGGGTGTAAGATGTCTTAACTAATTGTTGCTTAATTCATTTATTCTAGCTGATGTTTGGAAGGAAACTGGTACCTGTAATTTGCTAGATAGGTTCTGGACAATCTACTTTAGTGTTGTGTTGCTGTGATATCATGAAAAATATCAGCTCTTTTCCACAAAATTTAAAGAAATAAGTGAGATTTCTCTTCTTTTATGGATATCTGTAATTTCTTTTTTTTTTTTTTACTCAGAAGATAATGCTGTTGGATACATAACTGTAGATATCCTGCTTTATTAACTCTAAAATATAAATTCTTTTTTTTTCTTTGTTAAGCCAAGCTTTATTGATGCATTAAATGATACAATAAGAGGCTGGACAGGTTGAAGCATAAACACCAACAGCATTGTGTTTGTCTTTAAGAACAGTATATAATCTGTTTCATACCACCCAGAACAACCCCTACAGTTACCATAATAGTTCCCAAGAACTACACGCAGCCCAGAATAAATTAAAGAGCCCAATTCTTTTATCCATTGTCAACCAATTTGTAGCATTACCGCCTCACACTTACACCCAAGTGACAAACAAATCTAAATCTGAGGTATAGTTAAAAAAAGAAGCACCATAAAAGAGAAAAATAGGTATTTGGTCAGTCAAAATATTAATTTCTTAAGACACTTGATATTTAAAGACTTAACTTTCCTACGAGGCCCTTGATTTGAGAGTAGGAAAATCTAAAGAAGTGATTTCTTGTTCTTCCTTTTATATGTTAATAGTGCCTTATTTAAATATGTATGCATGCCTATCCCTCTATATCTATGTATGCATGTGTACCTACCATACATGTAAAACCCCATATTTTTCTTATTTTTTAACAAAAAAAAATAAAAAATAAAAAAAAAGAACCGATGGTGTGTGCCATGCAGGTCTCTTGGTATTAATAATTTCTCTGGAACGCTCCCTCCAGAGCTGGGTAATCTAGTTGAACTTCAACAACTGTAAGTTATAACTTTCTCTCTAGTTCACTTTAGGCATGTAAGTATTTCATTAATATGTTTATGATCATAGAAAATTAAGACAGCATTGGTTTATGAATGTGACAGTTACATTAACAGTTGTGGATTCACTGGTGAAATCCCCTCAACCTTTGCTAACCTTCGAAATTTGCAAATTGTGTAAGAAAGACCAAGGAATCATGATTCTTTCATATGCTTGCTGCTTTTTGTTTCTTCCGCTCTGGAAAATTGCCTTTGCTTACCTTGGCTTGGTAATAGTCAGCTTGTTGAATTTCAGGTATGCATCAGATAACGCTTTAACAGGCAAAATACCTGACTTTATTGGCAATAACTGGACAAAGCTTGCATCATTGTAAGTTTTCAAAACATTTTTCTTTGTAATATTCAAAAAAGACAAAAAAAAAACAGATAAGAAAAATCAGCCCTATTCTTATACTTTCTTGAATTGTCTGTCAAATGAAACTACAGGAAACTTGAAGGGAACTCTTTCGAAGGTCCTATACCATCCAATATTGGAAACTTAACCTCACTGACGATTCTGTGAGTAAACATTTTTTTTTCATATTACTTCCACGACTCCAAGGCCCCCCAAGGCTCTCTTTCTCTACATAGTCACACATGAATGCATGTAATATCTGATATGTATGTCTTTGAATCATGTAGGCGAATTTCTGGTATATACAATGGGAGCTCTTCTCTTGATTTCGTTAGAAATTTAAAGAACATAGCCGACTTGTGAGTTAAACATACTCTTTAACATCTTGTTCTGTCATCTGTGACTCTGACTTTTTTTTCTTTAATATTTCATGCTAGCTCTTACCTAAATTTATTGACTAATAAACTTTTTTTTTGGTTTCTTTTTTCCTATAGAGTTCTAAGAAATGTTTTACTAACTGGTAGTATTCCGACTGATATCGTAGAATTCCAATCTTTACAAAAGCTGTAAGTTTTTTATTCACAAATTCACTGCTAGTACTGTAACTTAGTTACAAGTTTTCTCTGCTTTATTAATTTTTATCAATTTCTTTTTTCATCCAGGGATTTGAGTTTCAACAACTTAACAGGCCAAATTCCAAGTGAATTGTTCAATATGAATTCTCTTACGTACTTGTAAATTCGACGAAACCATCCCCTTCAATACTTGAAAATCTCATCTATGTCAGGCTTATCTATAATATGTGTTTCTGGCCTAGTGCTTTATCACCTGACTGACATTCTTTCTTTTGTTTCTTATTTTCATGCTGTTGAAATGGCCAGGTTTCTTGGAAATAATAGTCTGTCAGGTACCCTTCCTAGTCAAAAGAGCCAAAGTCTAAAGAATATGTACGTCATCATATCACAATACTGTATTATTGAATCAGTTGCCAGCAATTTTCACTCATTGAACCATTTTGAATCCCAATCAAAGTCATCTCTGTCCATGAGGAGTGATTTTTAAGTTATGTGAGTGGGGGATGATGAATGATGAGTGATGTTGCTTGTGGACACCCACCTTTGATAAATATCTATAATTGTAAAGCCATTGCATAGAGTCCAGTGAACTGAGGCAGTTGAATTGTATCCTGGTTATGTGATCGGTGTTGCTTCTCACTTTTAACTAATGTAATTCTCTGATGCAGAGATGTATCTTACAATCATCTATCAGGAAATTTGCCCTCATGGAGAGACTCAAGCTTACAAGTGTATGTCTCTAAATCCATGACACTTCCGTATCTTTGTTCTCCAATTTTAATACTTAGATTTGAGCATGAGGCTTTCTGGTGCTCAAATGGAGCATATTTTTTCATAATTATCATTAATATAGACCTAATATGCCTAAAAACAATGAATGTGTCAACCGGTCCCATATTTGACACACACATTTGGGATGAGGACATTCATCAAATATTTACAGACTCGGATTAAGAGAATAAGAGATCGTTTCATGGCATTCTATGTAGGAATATGGTGGCCAACAACTTCACACTCAACAGCTCAGACATAAGGTGAGTTATTGCCCCTACCACTCAGTTTTTATCTTTCCCTTTCCACCTTTTGCCCATGAGCAAATGGCTGCCGGCCTGCTGCTGTTGCAGCTATGCGATGCATTACTCTTCATATGTCAAATCCAAATGAACAATAATATTTTCAAATTCCACAGACTTTTACCAGGATTGCAATGCCTTCAAAGAGGTTTCCCATGCAACAGAAATGCTCCACGATGTAAGCTTAGCTAAAACTTTTGTATCAGTCCATATTGTTGAGGTTTTAATTATATATAGAATCCTGGGGAGATAATGACAATTGCTTTGTTATTTGCTAACCAAATCTGAATGTTTGCATGGCAGATGCAAACTTTGCAATCAAGTGTGGTGGTCCACAGATGACTGCCGATGGGATACTTTTTGAGGCTGAGAACAGTACTCTGGGCGCTGCAACGTTTAATGTAACCAGTACACAAAAATGGGCAGTTAGCAACGTAGGTTTGTATGAAGACAGGGAGAATCCACTGTATGTGCAAAACACTTTTGCACAAGTGAAAAGCACCAACACTCCAGCGATTTATCAGACTTCAAGGATATCCCCTGCATCACTAAGATACTATGGCCTAGGCCTTGAGAATGGGCCTTATACTGTAAACTTGTTCTTTGCGGAAACAGCGTACCCAGATAGAAGCACTCAGTCTTGGAAGAGTCTAGGAAGGCGTGTTTTTGATATTTATATTCAGGTATTTCTCTCAATTATATACCATAAACTTCATTCCTTCTATTTGCAGTGTTTCTATGAATACAATTATGTTCATTTAATTTTACATATGAATACAATTATGTTCATTTAATTTTACATTGAGGACTTTTAATGTTATATCTCACCACTGCATCCCTAGGGATCCCTCAAAGCAAAGGATTTCGATATCTCAAAGGAGGCAGGTGGAGCTGAGAGAGCAATTACTAGGAATTTCACTGCTAATGTGACAGAGAACCATCTTGAAATTCACCTGTTTTGGGCTGGTAAAGGGACCTGCTGTGTACCAGAATTCGGTTACTATGGTCCATCCATCTCAGCTATTAGTGTTGTCCCAGGTAAGAATCTTTATTTAAGATTCTTCAAATGTGCTTGTCTTTCGCTTGCTGCTCCTGATGCCTCTTTTTTGTTGCTCAGACTTTATACCAACTGTTAGTGGGTTACCCCCGGGCACTTCTAGCAGGAAAAACCAGACAGCATTGATTGTTGGTATCATAGTTCCTGTTGGAGTTGCAGCTTTGATACTGATATGTGTGATTATTTTCTTTAAGAGAAGAAAGAAATATGATGATGATGAGGAAGGTAAGGGCATCCATACATCAACAAGTACAAAGTACATACTCGTGATAGTCTTTATATATCAACAAAATATGCGAGTCGATTTCAAAAGTATGAAGTAATTCTATTTATGGTTTTAGATTCTGTCAAGGGAATTTAAGAAAATTGACATTTTTCACTTTTCAGCTGGGAATAACTAGTGGATACTTTGTACATAGAAATTCTCTACACTCTTGATAGCCGCAGTTCATGAATTCTCTACACTCTTGTAGATATAATAATATATGTTCTTTCAGAAAACTTAATACCCTGTCATCTAGTGATAATTAAATCGAGAGAAACAAAGTAATCTTAATATCTTGGAAAATTAGCTCGAACATTTTGATTTCTTAGCCTTCTTCCTTTTGTACCTGCAGTTTCTGTAGAGGTCCGATACATCTGTTAGCACCTTTAGATCTCTGTTGAATATCAATTTTTAAAAGGGAACGATCTGGTCTTCTAAAAGGCCTCCTGAGTTTAAATTTGTGATGCTTCTCCAATGCTGGCACTATTTACAAGTCCTTCAACATTATATTAAATATTAATCTTAGAGAGTTTTTTGCATTTCATCACTACAACTTACAGCCTACTCCTTGCCTCACTTGACTTTTCAGTGCTTCTCGCAATTGGTCCTAGACCAAACACATTTAGCTATGCTGAGTTGAAAGCCGCCACAGAAGACTTTAGTCCTTCAAACAAATTAGGAGAAGGGGGATTTGGAGCAGTCTACAAGGTAAGCTATGTTTTACATTTTTAGCATGTTATCATGATGCTGGCCTGACATGTAATGAAAAAAGTTTGAGAGGATGACTTATATTTCAACCTTACTAAGTTAAGGTACCTCATAGGGTACACTTTCTGATGGGAGGGTAGTAGCTGTGAAGCAACTTTCAGTAGCATCTCACCAAGGGAAAAGTCAATTTATTGCTGAGGTAGCTACCATATCAGCAGTGCAACATCGCAATCTTGTCAAACTATACGGATGCTGCATCGAAGGGAAAAGGCATCTCCTTGTTTATGAGTATCTTGAGAACAAAAGCCTTGATCAGGCACTCTTTGGTATGATGACACCGTATAATTCTCTCATGCTTCCTCTGTTTGGACTTTGGAACAGACGAACCGTAGATAATAGGTTCTCTTCACTTACAAAATTGTTAGATAATGGATCTAACTTATTATTTTACTACTGGCTGTTGCCGAAACAAATGAAAACATAAAAGAGTGGATTTTAATCTTATGATGAACAAGTGCAAGATTTATTTTCCCTTGTTCAGTCTTTTGCAGGAAAATTCGATTATGCGCTTGCCAATTTATTCCATCGTTGATTACTCCCTAGTGAACTACTTAATAAGATTTCTGGCACTATAAATGCAGGACGCAGTGACTTGCATCTTGATTGGGCAACCCGCTTCAATATCTGCTTAGCAACTGCAAGAGGGTTAGCTTATCTTCACGAGGAGTCTAGGCCACGGATTGTACACAGAGATGTTAAGGCAAGTAATATTTTGCTTGATGCAGAACTATGTCCAAAAATATCTGATTTTGGATTGGCAAAGCTCTATGATGACAAAAAAACGCACATCAGCACTCGGGTTGCAGGAACCATGTAAACCTCTTAAGCCTTTAGCTCAAATGTCCTTCCGTCATGGCTTTTTTAGTTATTTGTTTGTCATTATAATATTCTTTTTATAAACTGAGCACACTTATACTAAGCCAGTAGTAAAATGATAAAACTTTTGCAATAAAAACAAGTAATGACAGGTTGGAGTTAGCTTTTAAATTGTTGCCGACCACCCGTCGTCCTTTTTACTTGTCTTTTGTAATTATTATGCAATTGTTAGGCTGATGGTACTACTCTCACTATTGCCTCATGTACTAAATTTCAAAGGCTTGGAGGCTTAGCATAGACCTTACTTCTATCTTAATTATTTGACTCCAAGGTTTCAGTAACAGAATAACTAGATATAAAAATTTTCTGGATAAACATTCACCATGTGATTTAATTATCTTGAAGTGGCTACCTGGCGCCAGAGTACGCAATGCGTGGACATCTCACTGAGAAAGCTGATGTTTTCGGCTTTGGTATTGTTGCTTTGGAGATCCTCAGCGGTAGACCTAACACTGATAATAGCTTGAAGGATGACAAGATCTATCTTCTGGAATGGGTAAGTATTAGGATTTTTTTTTTTTTCATTTGTAGTACTCATTGTTTTAAAGCCTTCAAAGGACTTAAAAATTCATGATGCATGAGATTTATTTCTACAATGTTTCCAGGCATGGGCTATACATGAAAATAACCAAAGCTTGGATTTGGTTGATCCAAATTTAGTGGAGTTGGATGAAAATGAAGCTCTCCGAGTGATGGGAGTGGCACTTTTGTGCACTCAAGGATCACCAACGATGCGGCCGCCCATGTCTCGTGTCGTTGCTATGCTTGCAGGAGATATTGAAGTGAGCGGTATTATAACAAGGCCAAGTTATCTAACTGACTGGGATTTTAAGGATTTAACAGGCAGCTTTATGACAGAAGATACACAAAACTCCATAGCATCTGAGAATACTGACAACAATAGTAATATCAACATTAACCCAGGGGCAGCACCAAATCTTTCTTCAGTAAATGTCACCGAATTCAGTGACATTATGGAAGGAAGGTGAGAAGTGTTGGACATTATCAACGATAACAGCGGAAGAATGAGAAGAAGAAAATCTTTTGAATAAGTATGCATGTTAAATATAATATCTGTTTAAATAATTATATATATTTAAAAAATTATGTCAATAAAAAAACATTAAAAAACATATTTTTATTTATAAATAAGATTTAGATTTTAGAAAATGGACGAACAGAAAAATATTGTAATCTTTTTTTCTTCGTTCTTCAAATTTTTTTAATATTGTTTTCATATTATTTTGTTGTAAGAAAAAATTTTTCCTTTTATATAAAGAGTACTGAGTAAATTGATTTCGTCAATGTAAAACGTAATCGATCACTAAATTTTATTATATTAATAAAATTTATCTTTTGTAACCATTTTACACATCCAAATAAATAATCAATAAAACTTTAGAAAAGAGACATAAATACACACCTTAAAATCATTCTCTAATATTTGTTGTTTTCAGTTATGTGTTCTGTGAGAGGTGTAAATGTCCTCGCTACTTTCCTCTTTAAGACAGAACTTTGCTAACTTTTCCTCTCTTTTTTTTTTGAAAGTTATAATTCATTTTATACAGGAGAAGGTCTCTCCTTCTGCAGACAAGATTATATGTCCATAGATTTTCAAGTAAATCTATTGACCTAGAATCATAGCCACTAATGTATATAAAAGATTAGTGTTTGGTAGTTTGCTCCCACAAGACTCAGCTATACAATTATAAAAAATTCCTCATGTAACCAAGAGGATCCAATTTTTAAAAATTGACATCTAAACAGATGATAGACACAATAACTTTTTGATCAAAAAGACTTTCACACAATAACATCTTCTTAATTAACCACAATCACTCTTTCGAAAACTGATCAGAAACGAAACAACATACCAATGTAGGTAACCATGGACACCACAAGATCGTCCTCAGCCTGATCAAAAACCGCCAGACCTTCTTTGCTTCACTTGACCCTTCATTGTCTAGTGATTATTATTGATGCATACCATAACTATAAAGAATATTGTGCTTTTCAATATATATATATATATATATATGTGTGTGTGTGTGTGTGTAAAGAATGCCTTTGTAAGTATAATATAATTTGTGAAAGGTGCAGTAATTCAAAGATGCATGCCCCTGTTAGGTAGTACACTGTTAGCAGCCTGCAAGAGCATTGACAATGACTATCACCCTGTCAACCTTCCAGGAAGAAGAAACCATCAATGTGATTAGTTCTTCTGATAACATTGTTTTGAATTGGAATTTGCTATTGAATTTAATTAGTAAAACCATCAGGAATATTTTCTAGGACCAATCTCCATCCTGGTATACTTGGCTGCAAAAGAAAACAGATTGAGATCAAAACATGAAGTCAAATGTGTAAAACCGAACCCTGGATTGAATTTTTTTTTTTTTGTTTATAAGTGCAAAACCAGCTTAATTAATTAAAAACTTTGAGCAAGCTGCATGGATGGTAGGAAACTTATTATTGACCCATATTTTCCTTTTCATTGTAAGGGAAGGGAAGGGTAAGGACTAAGGATTCTTTCCGCGATAAAAAATAATGAAAATGTTTACTACCTAAATCTAAAGTAATTGATATACATTGAAATTAACTTATGACTAAAATTTCGATCGAGAAAGATGAATGAGAATTAGTTGAAAAAGAAAAATAAAATATTTAATGTTTGATTTTAAGTTTATTTAAAAATATTTTATATTAATTTAGAATCAAGTAATAAATATCTTGGCTAATTATGAGCAGCGAAAAAGATGGATAGAAAATGTTGATGAATAATTAAATCAGAAACATCTGAAAGGAACTCAGAACATGCTGCCAGCCAAACTGATAAATATTTTGCAAGGACACTTGATTGTAGTTGACGGGGTAAAAGTCAAAACCGAAAACTATCACAATTCACGAAGTTATTTATAGTTTACAGAACATGTAGAGGTTGGAGAAATAAAAACATAACAAAATTAAGAGTAATGGGGTGGTTAACTCCAGGACTTTGATTAATCTGTCCACACCATTCATGACTGGCACTGATGGCAGTGTTTGTTTTCCTGATTTGCTGTAAAATCATCGAGTATATTTAACCAAACTACATGGCTATGTATGTATCTCATAGTCTTGTCATGAGCTCTGTGGTGAACTTTTATAATCAATCAAGAATTATTCCCAGAGTTGTTTTCTCAATACCTAGTTTGTAAGAACATTAAAAAAGAAAGGCAAATTATTGATAAGATAAAAAAGTCAAGTGGGTGCAATTTTCCTGGAGCTCTCAGTGACATAAATAGACATTCATGGTTTAAAATTAAAGACAATTAGGCCCTCTGCGTTTGGTCTCTCTCTCCATTTGATGAGCATATAGCAGAAAGTTTGTTTTAAACAACTTCTTTTTTCCCATTCTTCCTCCAGATAAAACTGTGGAGCAGACATCATTATCCATCAAAGAACTTTCATCTCGTACTGCAGGTAGCTCAAAGGGAAATCTTGATCATCCTAAATATTCCTGAAAGAGAGCAAGACTGAAAAATGGGATATGTGGTGATTGTTCCACTTCCCATGGTGGTTTTCTTCATTCTCTTATCCTTTGGTTGATACGCTTTAGGGAGGCACAAGGGGCAGCAAGAAGGGCAAGCCATGGCTGCTCAGCAGCTTGGCACTAATTCTCAGTCACAGACGATGATTGCGGTTGCAGATGGTGTATGGCCACAGGCACCCCTCCACCAGCTCCTCAATATCCTGCATTTCCTTCTCCTTCTCCCCATCATCCCAATCCAATCTACTTGAAGCAACAAAATGGAATGAATGTTGTTTAAAACTCCTCTTTAAGAGAAGAAGTGAGAGCATCAACAATTCAACAAATATATATATGTTTTTCCATGTTATTTGAACTAAATAAGCTCTTCATTGTTTGGTGAGGTTTCTCGATGTCAGAACTATTTTTTTCTATAAGCTATTGTGATGGATTGAATTTTTCAATTTTCTTTTCTCTTCGTTTTGGTTTGGTGAAGAAACCAATTTGATTTGATGTCTTCATTACTTCAACTGAAGTGTGTCTCAAATCTCTGCCCAAACAAAAAAAAAAGAGAGAGAGAGAATAAGAAGAATGTGACTCAAATATACTGTATGCATATACACAAGGAAACGTTGCAACCGAGTAGCAACGAAATGACTTATGGGGAATCAAAGATAAATACATTTCTCTTGGATAGGAATTTAGATAAGCGAAGGAGACAGCAGCAAACGCTTTAGTTGGTGATTATTGATTGATCTCAAAGTAAGACTTATGGGGCATTGACTTTAATTTAATCCCTAAAAAATAATGCTGATATAATGGTAAGTCAACCAAAAGTCTAAATCATTTTTTCCAAAGTCAATTCTTTGTAAATAAACTGGGAAATTTAAATTTAAAAGTTTCATGTGTGAAGTATGAACTGTGGGGTAAACAAAAGGAAAAAAAAACCTCTTACCAACCAAAACTTCAATTTTTTTTAAAGAAAAACCTAACGGGCTGACAGAAATTCTTGGCCCAATGTGAACTACAGGCCCAAGTAGAAGATGGACGTCAAACCATGCCAAACTTGGGTTTGGATTTGGTCCAAGCTCAACATTACCCTTTGACCTTTTTCATTGAAGGGATATGTATAAAAACGATGGCGTGAACGGCAGGATTCGAACCTGCGCGGGCAGAGCCCACATGATTTCTAGTCATGCCCGATAACCACTCCGGCACGTCCACCTGTTTTTGCTCCTTAAAGCCATCCTCATCACCAGTACGACTATTTATAAAAAGTATACATTGTTTTTCACACTCAAGTAATCCTATAAAAGTATTGTAGAGTGGTTAACCAAAACCAAATTATACTGGTTAGCTTGTGAATTCAAAAGAATACTTTAAAAGAACATTATTTTCTTGCTTCAAACTAATCAAAACGTTGAAATTTTGGGATATGGAGGTTTTTTCTTTTATCTAGTAATTTTGTTTAATCGGTGAATTTAACCACTAGGATAAAGTCGAAAAATTCATGATTGGTTGCACAATACTTGGTAGCCCTTTTCCCATCAAACAAAAAATAAAATATATCTTTTAGAAGAATCTTCTTGGTAAATTTGTGGCAATCTTTGATTTTCGTATTGTTGCTACTAAATTGAGCTTGATTAGAGAACAACCTTCACTAAGTGGAGGCATAATAATAAACTACTCTCCTAAGACCCGAGGAGAATCGGAATGTCGTGATTTGGCAGACAAAGGCCCCTTCGCAAGCCAACTCACCATGGTACACTTTCTCAGTTTCTCCACTGGAAATGCCAAAGTTACTTTGGACTTCTGGCCCACCAAAAAAAAGTAGCCGTTGGAGGCTTGAACGTTAAGCATACTGAGAGCAAGCACCTTTAAAATCCCACCCACGCCACTCTGTTCTAGGCAGAATCTGAAACCTCCAAATTCTTTTGAAGAAGCCAAACTTCTTATAACATATTCTCCCCATCCCCTCTCTTTGTGAAGTCTTCTTGGGTTGGTTGAGTGAAGATGGGCATGGTGGTAGTGATCTCTCTGCCTCTAATTATCTTCTGCATATTACTTGGTGTTGGGTGTTACTTCTGGGGAAGAGCTAAAGGGAGACAAGATATCCGCACCAACCCTCAGATTTATGGGGTACCAGCTCCGCCGCCCGGTGCAACAACCTCTTTCCCATCTCCTCCACACACCAAGCCTGACAACTTGGCCAATGTTTGATAGGGGCATCTCAGAATTGAAGTTACAACAAGAATAGATTTTATATCTGGGTTCCTTTAAAAAACAATTTTTGGGTTGTGTGTTTTTGTTGCTTATACCTGTGTGAAATTGAGATATGTTGTGTTGGGTGTACATTGGTTGAATCATGAATCAATAAAGATGTATAGCAGCAATAAATCTATTTTCTGATGCATAATTTGGTTTTAAGTTTTGATGTGAATCGTCCTTGCTTGACAAAGATTAATCCACTTATTTCATGATGCATAATGTTTGCTGATGCTATTAATCCTTAAAAATTAAGTGTTAAGTGGTAGGAATTTGTTGTTTCTAAAACTGTTATTAAACAACAGAATAGGTGTTACAGAGAGATGGGACAAGGAAGACTGCTTTTTGATTACATGTTCTAACTTCAATCAAGGAACAGCCAGAGAGAGATCTGAATGACACTATGAAAAATTATGATTACATGTTTGCGTATTCCTATAAGGCTAAATCTGCAAAACCTCCAAACCTAAGAAAACCTGTATTATCTGTAAGAAAACCTAAGCAACGTTTAAAATCTAATTACATGTCTTTATTACAAAAAGTGTTAAAATTAGGCAGTTAGGTCAATTTCCCTCCTTTTGCATCGGTAGATCCTTTCCCATTTCAATTCTGTTCAAAAATCTTTACCTTCTTTAAAACCTTGTGCCATGATTTACACACGATAAACCATTCCTACTTCGATCAGAGAGGTGTGTGGGATCCCAAGTGCTGTGGCTGGATGCCTACAGTTCTGTCTCAAGAACCTATAAACAATGTTTATGACAAACTTCTTCAAATACGAAGATGTTTCACTCGCCAAAATACAAGTGCTACCCATCATATATGCCAGACCAGATTCCCTTGCCTCTGTCAGATCCTCCAATTCCTTACTACATCCCACTCCACGAAATCTCACTGTTCTCTTGCTAGCTCTGCTATTGATTCCATTCTCAAGCCCCAAAGCAGCAACATCCTCTGGTGGACTTGATTGCCGCTGATTCAGGCCGAACTCCATTCCTAAGGCTCCAACTTCACTATCATCACTGCCGCTCTGTAAAAATTCTGCCACAGTTTCAATCAGACGACTCTCAAAATCATGACTATCCTTCCTTTCATCCTTGTAACCGTATCTAACAACACATTGGAAAAGCCGGAACTCTGCTGGGCCAATGCGACTTATAACATATCGCTGATTGAGAGGAACTTTAGGAACTGTGAGAGATCGAATAGTAACAAATATAAGGATACGGTGAAAGGCAGGAAAGTTGGTGACAAAGTGGGTAAACATTGGTGGGACCCCTGTGGTCACATTTGAGTAGATTAGGCCTATTCCAGGAACACGATTTATACCCAGGTTTGGGCCCATGCTTAGAAGCATATCCAAGCATACCTTGTTGTGTGACTCGTAAGAGTGTTTCTTTAGAGTCCCGTAGTGCCATATGCACATTGTAGACAGAACTATTAGGGAGAAAATGAGAGGGAACCAACCCCCTTTATGAACTTTTGCAAGGCAAGCGGAGAAGTAAAACATCTCCAGGGACCCAAAAACAATGACAAAAGCAACAGCTCCCAAAATGTTCCTCTTCCAAACCATAACGATAACCAGAAACATCAAGCAGGTGGTAACCAACATTACAGTAATCACTGCAAGGCCTAAAACAAGAATAGCAACAAGTCAAAGTTGAATGTGAGTGAACTGCAGGGAGAAGAGAGGCATAAGAGAGAGAGCTCAAGATTGTACCATATGCATTGCCTATCATGTCTGTATCCCTATAGCCAGCCACAACAGCAAGGCATAAAACCATCAAGATCCAATTCACCTCTGGTATGTAGATCTGCCCATGTATGTGGTTTGATGTGTGTATCACCCTGACTCGTGGAAAACACTTCAAAGCCCTACACTGGCTGATTATTGAGAAAGTAGCAGAAATAATTGCTTGACTCCCAACAACTGTTGCAAGGGTTGCAATGATAAACACTGGCCAGAATACAACCTCTGCATAGAGAAAGGGGGGGAATTTTGCTATGAGATTATGACCCAAGCCCCATGTACTACATCTGATAATAATGGAAAAAGTACCTCTTATTTTCAGCCTTACTAGTATCTTTAACACTCCTCTATGCCATAAAAAATAATTAAAAAGCAATAGTGTCATTTGCAATTATATGTAGCATTATTTGATTGGAGCAGATATTTAAAGATTTAAGCAGTCCAAACTTCTTTTTTTCACTCAGCAGTAGTCAAGACTTGAACAAGTACCCTTTAAACTCATCCAAAAGGCTTACATAGCATAAACCTTTACAATTGTGCTTGCTAATCTATATGGTTTACATTTTTTTTGACCAAACACAGTAGACAACAAACCATCTTTTACTCACAGAGCAACAGCTCTCTAGTGAATTACAAGACTCATTCATTTGATTTACCAGGGATTGATTTATAGAAGCTTCTCTGAAGGTCCTCTTTGTGCTTGGAGAGATACGCAGCCTCACCCATATACGCCAAAATTAAGCAAGGGTAGACAACAACAGTGAACGCAATCTGTTCATCAGAAACATATGTTAATAGAAATCAAGAAAGCAGATCATCATGCTTTCACATAACAAATAGGCAAATATGTCTACACAAACCACTGAACAAACAAAGATAGAAAACAGAGAAAGATAAGAAACATTCACAAAGACATTTACAGTTTTTGCAACAAGCAAAAAATAGGGGAACAGATGATAGCAAGCATTTGATGGCTCTCATTCATTTCCAAATTATTCAAACGTTTTACATTCAAAGGTAAGAACTTACCCGGATGGAAAGCTGGGAAAAATGACCAAGATCAGCAAACATGGCCTCGGCACCTGATTAATAGAAAGAGGGAATATTCATTATTCTAATCAAAAATACCTTAAATGAAATGGGTTTATCTTGAGGGGTTATTGACGAACCTGTAACACAAAGAACAATGCCTCCAAGAGAACTCCATCCATCTTTTCCAGTCTTTTTGAAAAAGTTATACACATAATATGGTGACAGAGCACTGATTACACGTGGATTCCAGTGTATTATGTTGTAAATTCCAACGACACTAATGCAAAAGAGCCACGCTAACAAAATAGGAGCAAAAAGAAATCCAACCCTACGAGTCCCAACATGCTGAAGTTCGAACAGCCCCACTAAAATCACACATGCAATAAATACAGTATAATCTGCATGAAAGAAGCCAAATTAAGGATGTGAATCCATTTTATTGATCAAAGATGCAACTTAACTATATTAGCTCCATTCAAATGGGAGTTATGGAAACTCCTGTCCACGTGTAAAATGCTAACTAGCTTTCCTGCAAATTTCCAACTAGCTAGCAACTGGAAGAATGCAGTTGGGCTGGCTTTTAGATATATCTGTTATCGGGAGCAACTTGACTGAAGCAATTATAAACGAATTCTACACTCTAAAGGAAGCTTGAAAATGCTAGTTTGACTTACTCTCATGAAGACCGGTAGCCTTAATTTTGATGCCATTAACTGCAGAAAGAACTGTATAAAAAATGCAACTCATTCGTAAGTGCAGGAGGAGATCATAAAGGAGAAGAAAAAATTCAGCAGATGAAGTAACAAGATGCAACTTTTTGTGATTAGTACATCAAGAAGCAAGTAACAGTTATATTCAATTTCATAGGGTTCATCTGCAAAGCAACATCAAAATGACCTGTAAAATAATCTAACTTCCAGATTCATCCTTCTGAAAAGAATTAAAGGTAATCGAATTCCAAGTTATCCAAGGAGAAAGATAATACCAGACATTGATGGGGTTAGGATACCGTCACCAATAACCATGCTAGTCCCCAGGAGCACAAGTAAAAGCAAAACAATACGGGAACTTTGATACTTATCAAAGAACTCTTTTAAAATTGAACTAGCTACAGTTTCCTTCCTGGGTAGTCCAGAGTTATAAGCAGATATGTCATCATCAGGCACATCAGAAGCACTCAAAAGACCAAGCTTTGCACGCCGGCAAAGCAATGAATATAAAGCAAAGGTTCCACCTGCAGGAATGAGGCTTCCTTCAGGAAATTCACACTAAATGGAGCTATATTGGTCTCAATAAACAAGGTGATAAATATGCAGGACTTTGAAAGCACCTTCACCATTATCATCTGCCCCTAATACAAATATAATGTACTTGCATAGAGGGATTAGAGTCAAAGTCCAGAAAACCAAAGACAGTACCCCAAGTATTTCATCATCTTCCTCATGAAGGCTCAACCTCCCAGAAAACGTGCTTTTATAAACATATATTGGCGAAGTGCTCAGGTCACCATAAACAACACCAAAACTCTGATACGCAAGACATAAAGTACTCCTGTAAAATTTCTGCATGTAAAACAAGCATCAAACATATTAGAATTTTGGCTGAGCAAAAAAACACATATTAGAACTTCCTCATTCCTTATCAAAATTCTTTCTTGCACATAATAAAATATGCGAAAATGCTATGGTATGCTTTCTAAACATCTCCAATAAGTGGAACATTAGAAAGAGAACAAGCACGTTCAGTAAGTCACGTGCAGGAAAAAAAAAAACAAGCAAATTAAAATTCAACTTCTTTTGGAACTTCATATTTTTCAAAGAAATGATGTATTTGTTCACAACGTAATATTAAAAGCTAGTAGGGAACTAATATAACAAACCGGCAACCAAAACCGAACTCAATAAAAATTGAATAATAACAGAAAACTATAATGATATTTATAATGGAAAACTGAATTCAAAGGCAACGTGAACTAAGCCCAGTCATCCCATTTAGTTCACTTTAGATAATCCTATACAAAAAATATCATCAACATTAACAAATTCAAAATTCCTTACTTTTCTTTCACATTTTCTCAGAAAACAGACAGAACCCAAAACTAACAAACACGAAAACTAAAACCACTACGAAAAACCAATAAAAGAGAAGTACCCAGTTAAGCAAATCAACAAATACAAACATAAAAATCCCAAAAATCTAAAATTTGAAGGAAAAAAAAGTACCAGCCGAGACTCCCGGGTCACGGACCCGGCTTCCGGATCCATACAACAGTGTCACTTCTTCTTCTTTTTACAGTAAGCAGAAGGAGCTCCGAAATGGGTAGCGAAAACGAAACCCCTAAACTCCAAAAGAATTGAAGAAAAGGGCTTTGAGATATCGA